AACTCATTAACAATGTTCCCACTGCTGTAGTGCTACCCTTGAATGTTCCACTATATGCCCAACTAATTATTCAGAAACTGAGAATTGCAGTTGCATGTTGCCTCCATTTTTTTTTCTTCAGACAATGGATTAACCGATGCATGTTAACTCTAATGTGACGCTACAATATTTGCGAATCGCAACACCAATTTTGCATCGGAATAGTGGATTAAAACACAGTTTAAAGCCTTTGTGTTCTGCATAAGTAGCTTACCGGGCTTGAAGAAGACTGAGAGACCAAAATCTATGGCCTTGAGCGAGAGGTCATCGTCCTTGTTGGCAAGCAGGAAGTTTTCTGGCTTGAGGTCCCGGTGCATGACCCCGAGCGAGTGGCAGGCCTCGACGACCCCAACGATGATCCGCGTGAGCTCGGCGGCCTTCCGCTCGCTGTAGTGGCCGCGCTGTATGATGCGATCGAAGAGCTCGCCGCCGGCGCAGAGCTCCATGACGATGTGCACGTATAGCTGGTCCTCGTAGGCGCCCTTGATGGCGACGACGTTCTTGTGGCCCGAGAGATGGTGCATGATCTGGATCTCGCGGCGAACGTCTTCGATGTCCTCCTTGGTGATGAGCTTGCGCTTGGAAATGGACTTGCAGGCGTAGTCCACCCCAGTGGACAGCTCGGTGCAGAGGTAGGTGGTGCCGAACTGCCCCTGCCCGAGCTTCCTGCCCATGGCGTAGAGGTCGCGGAGGTTGGGGGTGGGGTGGCCGAGCACCGAGCCGAGGTCGGCGGGCGCCTGGCCGCGCCTCATGGCGGCGGCCGGCGCCGACGCGGAGACTGGGTGGTCGTCCGTCTTGGCGGCTGCTGGAGGGCGGGAGGGCTTCTTCGGCGAGTCGGCCGCGGCGGCGTTGTTGTTGTCGTCGGTGTCGTGGCGCTGCGACGCGGTCTGCTTGAAGCTCAGGTACTTGGATCTAAGGGAACCGCCGCATGCGTTGCCCATCAAACGACGGGGAGAAACCGGCGGCCACGCGCATCAAAGCTCCGGGCACCCACCCCACGCGCGGTTGGTGCTCCCGGCTCTCACAGAAACAGCAGAGCTAGCTAGCGAGCCGAAGCGGAAACCTCACAACCGCCGCAGAGGGGAATCTCTGATCTAGCAAGCGAGAGAGCGAGAGCACGGGAAGCGATCGAGAGGGAACTGAACTGGATGGGGTTCGGGGTGGAAGAGAGATTTTAACGAGGCGAGAGAGAGAAAGCAGCAGCGGGAGGCTGCTTCATGGCGACTTCTCCCTCCCGGCCGGGTCACGTTTGGGGGAAAGCGAGCGCAACAGCTAGCTAACTGCAACTTGGCGGCCCTTGTTCTTTCGTGTGCGGTTGATGAGTAGATAGGCTAGAAATTATTGGACGCTACGACCTATTTTATGCTTCGTATCGTGCCGGTCAGTGCGATACCATCAAACGACGCGAGACGCCGACTCGCCGAGGCGAGAGCCGTGCGGCTGCGGGTGAAAGAGAGGCTCCCCCGTCTCGTTGATGGGCTTGTGGGGAGTACTTGGCGTGATTTTGGATTTTTGCACGTAAGGACGGGGGGGTGGAGCGGGGAAGGTGAGGCGAAGTCGGCAGCGGGTTTCGTCTCGTTGCCCCCGCATCTGTTTCTGCGAAGCGGATGGGTACACTGAACTCTGCCGTGCAGGGCAGGCGTGGGTTGGGGGTGGACCCGCCGAGCCGGTGAGGAGGGGACGCACCGGGGCAACCAACCCGCCGTGCGCCCGCGCGCGAGCCGCGCGGAGTTGGGTAGCTCCGCTCGCCTGTTGTAACTGCCAACCGCGGTTCGCGGCGCGGCTCGGCGCGGCATTTTTGTCGCGAGGGGCAACGTACGCGCGCGGCTGCGCGGATGCTTCTCACCCCACATCCGCCTTCACCCGGAGCCTCTCGCTGTCTCGCGGGTCCGAGGAACGGAGTAGCGTGCTGCACACCTGCTTACCATTCGGTGGCTCGGTGCCCAACTGCCCCATATGGCTGCCGTTTGCGGCGTCTGCATCGCTTTTGTTGGTGAGAGCTGCGTACAGCTAGATATGAGAATTGAGAAGACTAGAGGAGAAAAGGCAAGTGTGAGTGTAGACTGTAGAGTACTACTAGAGTGTGTGACTGAGGAAAGCGAGCGAGCAGAGAGGATGTCACAACGCACACCACAAGAAAGAAAAACCGATGTCACGCACACCACAGGAAAGAAAAAACTCTTTCTCGCGCACGTTTTCTATTGACATCACTCCAACTGCGAGGAAGCTTCTGAGTTCTTAGGCATGCGTGGGACTGGACGAATTTTAGTTTGGAACTGGATAGATAACCCACAAGTATCTGTCATCCGATCATCAGACCTACGAACGGATCGAGGAAAACTGTGCGCAGAAATGTACTACTCCTATACTTGCCTGAAAGCTCATCTCCCTGACTTCTGACTTGTACTATTTGTTGACTCACTGCTGCTGCCTGCTCATTCCCATTCTACAGGATATATAATGTGGTAGCATGTGAACGTATCCTTAACTGTCCCATTAGGCCTTTAATGAGCATTGCCAACTACTAGAAGAACACCAACGACCCCAAGGTCACGTCTTATTGCCCATTTCGGCCGTTGCTAGTCGATCACTACTGTTTTGTTTACAAATGCATTAGCGCTTTCTGCCAATCAAGACCACACACTTACTTGGAAGAGGATTTTGATCCATATCCCCTCGTTATTTACATATCACTCAAATGGTTATGAAAACATTTTTTTAAAAAATTGAGAGGATGTATTAACATGTGATATATCACTCTACAAACATGCAAGTAAAAATTCAACTTCTATATCTCGTAACGAAAAAAACAAATTTAATGTTACGAAATATAGAAGTTAAATTTAAACTTGCATGTTTGTGAAGTATTATATCACATGTTAATACACATTTTTAATTTTTTTTAACAAAAATATAACTATTTAAGTGACATGAAAAAAAATAGGGATTAAAATAGTTTTCCCACTTACTTTCACTCTCACTCGTGCGTGTGGCAGGATATTCACTTTCCCAAAAGTAAATACTACCAGTCCATGTTATCTTTTCCGCGGGAACGTAGGTCCGGCGCTGCCTTTCCCAATTTCTTCCTTTCCGTATTGCTGTCGTTAACTTTTCATCTTTCCATTACCACTATGGACTCTGCTGGATTGATTGGATTCTCTCTCCACGAGTGTTGGCTAGTAGCCTATGGTTCCATTGCTTCCAGATGCCGGCCAAAGCTACCAGTAGATGGAACTTTCCCATGCACTGAATGATGCACCAGCACTGCACGAGGGTTATCTGCTCGTGCTTGTGTCAGATTCAGGGATCAGGATGACACGGCACTTTTTGCTCACATAAACATGCGAATTCACCATCTACTCTATCCAGTTTTTGGATTCCTTGTTGATGCGATTTGCACAAGGAATATCCCGGACAATGTTAAGGTTTAAGGAGCAAGAAATCCCAGTGATAATAAAATCAAAAATCGGCTCAGGAGTTGACCCATCATCTGCAGGAGAATCGCTCTAGCCGATGATGGACAAGGATGGCATGCCCAACCGTTCAACTGACAGCGGCTTAGCAATTATCCCTGCTGAATATATCTTGGCTTGTATAGACGGACAACGATCTATCCATATCTTGGATTCTGACTTGGCCTTCTTTTAATTTTTTTGCGATGCCTGTGTTCCAAATCATGCTCGCAAATCGTGGCCGGCGTCGCTGCGGCTTCGCACATGGATTGATTATGCACCACGCCATGTGCAGCAACTGACGCTAGACGTTGCTGCCGAAAAAGATGGATTCCTGGATCGTGTACTAGTACTACACTACTACTTGCAAACCGTATGCAGAATCCATCCCACGAAAATTTGCCCGTCCTGTATACGCTGATAATAGACTGACAATCCTGTCATGCTGGCCGGCTTAATTTCACGAAATAGTCGTCCAGTTGTTGCAAATTGAGCTGCTGAAGAGAAAGAGACCGTTGCAGACTTAGCTTGAAGCAAGGCCTTGCATGTGAAGAGTCCGAACAAGAATCTCTCTGAATCTAGGTTATACTACCTCCGTTCTAAAATAAATGCAGCTGTGGGAATCCGTTTAACCGTCCAACGTTTGATCGTCCGTCTTATTTGAAAATTTTATGAAAATATTTAAAAAATTTAGTCGCACATAAAATACCATTTATATTTTATCATCTACTAACAATAAAAATACTAATCATAGAAAAATTTTAAATAAGGCGAACGGTCACACGTTGGACGTGAATAGTGTAAAACTACATTTATTTTGGGAGGGAGGGAGTACAAAAATTCCTTTTTGAATCTTAGTCCGAACAAAGGAAAATCAATCACCCGGTGACGAACAGCCTGACAGCCATCCAAGTCTTTGGGATAGGTTGGATTTTTTTTTTCTTTTCATTTATCTGCTGGCACGCACTAGTATCTGCTTAGGTATGTTCGTCCATATTAGCCTCTTGTCGAGTATGGTTCGAATCTGTCACGAATAGTGTTGTGGATAGAAGTAGGCTGTAGGCATGACGTGCTCCAGTTTATCTCAAGCTATATTTGTAGAGAGTATACGCCAAAAAGATCAACATTAATGAAAATGCATTAAACTAACCGCTTAATAATGTTTGTATGCTCTTAAAAAAGCTTAATTAACCTCGCAGATTAAAGCATGACCGTCTGAAAAGCAGATTAAAGCTTGAATTAATGCCTTACCGGGGTTGCAAATTGGCGTCCAATTTTGCTTGACGAATTGTAACGGGATTATGCTTGAATTAATTGCTCGATAAATTTTGATTATAACACTAATTAATTCCTCGCAAAGAAAGGATTAACACTACTTAAAGGTAATCAGGAGTTCAGGACCAACACGAAATTCGTAAGCTTACAATATTATGAAAGCTAAATAGATTAAACTGGCGTGCACGCAAAGGACAGGGACACTAAAACCATGTACTCCTAGCCCATAGCACATACTTATAGGTCTCACCTTAGTGAAATCTCTTTATCAAGTGCTGCTGTTCAAAATCTTAGCACCTAAAGGGACTTGTGATCACTGATAAGTGCCTGACAAAAATATCCTAATCCACCACTAAAGTTCTGCAAGTGGAAATAACCAATTGAAAGACTGGATTTTGCCCCCCAAAAATATTCAGAAGTACAAACGTCAAGGACTCCGTCAGGCATAATCAAATTATATTCACAGCGGCCGGCTCGTCGAATATGTTACCCAAGAAGAGAGAAAACGACTAAACAAGGTATAGTATAATCTACCGTACGCATCAACATTTACATAGCGTGCCGTCTCTGTCCGATAACTGTTTGGAGCTGAGACGATTCTGAACTCTGAAGGGGGCAAGAAAATCAGCGGGCTCCATCCGCTGAATCTTCCACGAACACGAGAGGCGCTCCGGCGACTTGCATGTAGCGTACGCTGGGCGTCGTGGCGGAGGTTAACGTCACTCTTGGAGCTCGGTGATCAGTTGACCGGCCGTCCATGTCAGCTCCGCGAGCTCGACCAGGTGATCGCGAAGGCCGTCAGCCAGCAGCATCAGCAAGGCCCTGCAGTCTGCGCGCAATCCAAATCCATCATTAGCCGCCTAACTGGATTTCTCGTGTTCATAATCAATGCAGGCATTGACTTCTCTCGCGTCGCAGACGGATTATACTCCATGCCGTCCCGGTGCGGCTAAGTTTTTTCGCATCATTACCTGGGATCTTGCTGAAGTTGTACAGTGTCACGGACGCGAGGACCCGATGCTGAGCCTGCGACCGGTCGCCGGCGAGGCGCTGCTTCAGCCGCGGGATGAGGGCCGAGAACGCGGCGAGCTGCACGTCGGCGGCGTCGATCGACGCGAGCGACCGGCTCAGCCACGCAGCCGTCGTCAGGCACACGGCCGCCAGGTCGTGGTTGGGAGAGCTCATGCACATGGACAGCGCCTCCAGGAACGGCCTCCTCCCGCTGCCGAGTAGCGCCGCGGTCACATCCCTCAGCCACACCTCGTCTTCGTCTCTTCCCTTGTCCTGATCGACGCAGAGGAATTTCTCTGAGCAACTTGGAAAATTTTTAGTTGGATATATTATTGTTTGTATCTGTGCGATACATTACCTGTACGGCAGCGTCAGAATCGGCACGCGTGACACGTGAGCCGTCGACGAAGCCGGCTTGTTTCAGCATCCGGTCCTCTGCAAGGAGGTCGCCCGAGAAGGAGAAATGCCCTCCCAGCAGCAGCAGTGCTTTCCTGATGTTGGCAACGACATTTTCTTCAGACAGGGAGCATCTCAGAGAATGTGTGATGATCTTGGCAGCCTCTTCTCTGTATACGCTATCTCTGTGTGGCTCCACCTGCCAGATTATTTACAGACTACAGGTTCAGTATATTGCTTTGTCATAGTTGAATTGTGTAACAGTCTTGGTTATTTATTCAGAGACATTTTTCCTCCGAGGGTAGGAATTTAGCAATATCATAGATCACGCAGAGAAAGTAGGCAAGAAATTTAGGTGGTTAGTGTGAAATCAGAGTGTTTTGATTATTATTTTATTATGATAAATAATTGACTTTGTGAGATAATTGGTGGTTTATTGGTGAAGTTGTACTGACTGTGTGGGACTGGTCAGACTGGGTGGAGTAGGCCGGTCAGACCAGCGTGTAGTGTGTGGTCAGATCGGCCGCCCCAATGATCCGACCGGCTGGCTCCTGCTCGGAATCGGTTTCGGCTGTTTCTTCGAATACTTGTGATTTTATCATGTTTATAACTTCTAGATGATTTTTATATATGTGTAATACTATTGTGTGCTACTGTGAAGTCAAATTGGGGAAAAAAATAGTGCTCAGATATTGTTTCTTGTTTGATTCATGTGTATGTGTGTCCTAATGCCTTGGGAGAGTGTTGCCGGCGATGGGTCTAGAGTTAACTTGGGAGAAGTTGATGTCTAGACAATTGGGAGATCATGCGGACGCTTAAGCTAAAAAACAATGTACGTGGTTAATGAAGATTCCATAAAGCATACGAGAGGGATTGTGTGTATGGAAAGCGGAGTCAGATTTGTGGGGTGTTCAAATTTGGGAAGATTGGAGTTTGAATTTTAATGAGATAAGTTGGATACTTGTACGGGAAGGATTCTTAGTGGATTAAGACATTTGTACAAGTTGGATTCATGGTTTCTGTGCAACCACCTAAGGGTATGAATAGAAGAGGGGTTGAGACCTATCAGTTTCGATTTTCGTGAGAGTTTAGCTGAGAGAAAATTTGGGTTTAACCTAAATAGTAGTCAAATTTTTAGAGAAAAATATTATTATTGCACTTTATAAACATAATTAGAAGTAATAAAGTTGATCTACTTTTAAGATGTTTTCGATTTGTGTTTTTGCTTAGGTTCAACGGTTACACCGAAGAGTACACAACGGTTAGACCGATGACGGTGACTCGGTGAGCGATCAGGCCGAATCTTCTACACCAGTCAAACTGGTGGAACAAGCACAATCAGACAGGTGCATACATGCCGATCAGACCGATCTCCATAAGGTTTGAAGGTAATTTTTAATTCCGCTAAAAGTTTTTAGTTTTTGGTATTCTATCCTATGTTAGTAGCACTTCAAATGCAATTAGGAGCAACAGAAGATGGACTAAAGCAGCATACCAATGCATGATCAAAATGCAGGAGTAGAACAGCACCCAGAGCTTGTTCTTCGTTTGGCGAGCGTCGGAGATGCTCGAGTAGTAGATTCATAGTCTCCATTGTCAACTCTGTGCGCAATCCACGTAGGAACAATTCAACTATTTCCCTTCTGTGACAATTGAAATATTTTGTGAGATGGAAGCGCATGTACATACAAGACATATTTGGATGCATTTGGTGTTACGAACAGGAGACAGAACCTTTTCAGGCAGAGCAGTTCAACAAGCAGACGAACTGCAGAACTCCTTGCTGAAATCACCTCACTGTGGAGAAGCTGAACAACACTTGAGTTACAAATCCTTATGGCCATGTAGTTTCTGCAGCTTCCTTCTGCCCTGATGCAGAGCAAAAGGAGCTCAGCTGCTTGTGCCTTCTCATCTTCTCCTCCTCCATGAAATTTATGCAGAAGAAAGTCTATGCCACCGATTGCCATAAGACGCCTTGCCTTCTCAAGTTTTTCAGACGTCTCGCATTCAGAAGAAAGGACATTCTCTACGAATGTTGCAGTTAACTCCTTTTCAGGACATGTACTTTCAGAGTTCAGAGTTTTGCAGTGTTCGGACTTCCAGTTATCGATCAAGCGTTTTAACACACGGTTTATGTCTGGAATCGACAGGCTTTCAAGTTCTTGACCTGTAATTGGGCACATTCTGATGCCTTTATCGAACCACTGAACTATAGCATGCCGCTCGAACGTCTGACCTGTCTCGATTGTCACCGGACGGTTGAAGATCTGCCTCGTCAGTGGACAGAGGAAATCACTAGGAATGGTGGCAAAAATGGATATTTGACTGCCATCTGTGTCACTCTGGAGATCAGGCCCTTCACTGAGAAGCTTACACGAAATTATGCAAAGATCAGTATGACATGCATGAAAAGATTGGAAAATGCAGAGAGAGGTTCGCACCAGAACTCGAGTGTAGGAAGGTCAATAGCCGTGATATCAGAAATTGGCACATAACTCGTTGACTCATCTGGTTGTCTGCTCCGTTCATCTTCACTCTAAGATTTTGAGGCGTAAACCATCAGAATTTTGATCTTTTTCCCGCGCATGATCAATTGCGCATGCAAGAAAAGTTAATTCCACAGAAAAAAAAAATGCTGACCTTTCGTTCAGATGCCTCGTTGGCTAGCTTGTCAGGCATTAGCTCGTTTTCTTCTGTCTGAAGTGAGTGAGTGTAGCTCTTCGGTTCAGTGCCATCGCACTCATGGAACACGCTTTCTGCATCTGCTGTCTTCTCGTCCACCTCTGCTTCTTCTTCCTCTTCGATCTCTCGATCATATTGTGATGGAGTCTCGTCGAGCGCAAACTTTACAGCTGGACTGTAACTCCCGGAGCTACAAGCGACATCCGAGCCAATGTCATAGGACGTCGACGTCGAGAACCTCAGCGCGCTGGCAAGAACGGTGCTGGGAGGAGCAGGAACAACCGGGAGAGACATGGCTTGGCTGCGCCCCAGAAGCCAATCTCTGTAGTAGCATGCGAGCGCGCGTGTGCCATCGTCCACTGCCTCTACGAACATCTTCTCCACGTCCTTCACCCTCGTATCCGAGCTCGCCGCGGTCGCCGACTCGCGGTCACGCCACGCTTTGAGGTGCGAGAGGCCCGAGCGGAAGAGCCTGTCCCAGAGCGCGGGAAGCAGGGATGTGCGGGCCTCGTGCGGCGCCAAGCAGAAGGCCTCCAGCACGTGCACCGCGGAGGAGTGGTCCTTCTCCTGGAGCTTGGAGATGACGGACATGTACAGGTGCGCGCACGCGGCGAGGCGCTGGTAGGGCACGCCGGCCGCGCTCACCGCGTCCGCTTCCTTCGCGTCGAGGGACGCCATGGCGTGCAGCCTGAGCGACGCGCGCTTCAGGTCGCGCGGGTCGTCGAGCCCCTCGCTCGCGGCCCTCTCGACGGTGTGCACGATCACGCGGAGGTCCAGGACCGCCCGGTGGTTGGACTCGCCGCCGAGGCACGACATGCACCCGCCGCGGAGCGACGCGCGGAAGCCCTCGTCCCTGACGAACCGCTTCACGGCTCCCGCGACCAGGGAGATCAACGCGGTGAGCACGGACTCGTCGAGAGCCGGTACCGCGGCAGCTGAGCCGCCCCTCATGGCGCCGCCGCCGCTGTCCTTGTTGTTGTTGTAGCTCCTCGCGCTCATCAGCGACGCCGATGACCTCCGTGTGGCGGTCCGCTGCTCCTCGCCGGCGTCGACTCCGTCGCCATCGCTAGTACCGACGTTGTTTGTTTCTCTGAGGCGGCTGCGGGTGAGGACGTCGGACTGCGACCGTGCTGGCCTACTCGGCCGCCGGTGCTGGAGGGGCATGCTCGTGGTCCTTGGGGCGGCCGGAGGGTTACTGTCAGGCGGCTTGCGACGGTTTCTGAAGCCATCAGCGGCGAGGAGGTCGCGAAGCAATGACGACGGCGGCGGCGCCATTGTCGCCGGCGGGGGCGTGTGGATGACAGGTCTCTGCTGCTAGTGGCACATCACTGTTCGTTGTGGTTTGCATGGTGACGGGCCGTGCATAGATTTGTCGAGGGGACAAGAGGAAAAAGTCGCACGAGGCGGGCCGTGCCAAATGGTGCTTTGGCACGCAGCGCCTAGCTCCGGCGCCTCTCCGGCCGGCGAAGTTTTAAGATTTTCTGATTTGGTCGTTACGAAAGTATAGAGGCGTTTTCTTGTGTGCACCACTTTGACGCTCAAAAGTGTTGGCTGTGTTACTGCGTCAAATGTTTGCTGTCACATCACGGGTCAAAATGGCTGTCGTATTTTTGGCCAGGCAAAATGGTTGTCGTATGACAACGGTAAAAATTACAATACGTGAATTTGAACATGTAGATCCATACTATTCCCTCCGTCCCAAATTCAAACTCGGTAACTTTTGACTAGTAATCATACTAATGACTCCCTCCGTTTCACAATATAAATCATTCTAGCATTTTCCATATTCATATTGATGTTAATGAATCTAGACATATATATATCAATATGAATGTAGAAAATGTTAGAATGACTTACATTGTGAAACGGAGAAAGTATATCTATACTAAGTATTATATATGTTACATCACTAGATTTATATTTTGAAGTACTTTTATGTGATGCTAATTTATATTTGATGGGATCATATAATGAAATAAAACAGGCAAAATTGGTTATATAGCATCGAAAGTTCACGTTTTTGGTTTTATAGCACCGAAAGTTACCGGTTCACTTTAATAGCATCCAAAGTTCACCGTATTCCCATTTTTAGCACTTCCGTCAATTTTTCTGTCCGTCTTGATGGTTATTGATCCAGCCACACACATGATATGATATTTCTACCCCTCATTGACATGCATTATACTTGTACTTGTGAGGGGTAGAAACGTCGTATCATGTGTGTGGCTGGATCAAGACGGACGGAAAACGATCGAGAATTGACGGAAGTGTTAAAAATGGGAACATGGTGAACTTTGGGTGCTATTAAAGTGAACCGATAACTTTCGGTGCTATAAAACAAAAAACGTAAACTTTTGATACTATATAACCAATTTTGCCAAAAAAGGCACTAGTCAAAAGTATGTTATTGAAGTCTATGAAAAAAATATAGCCCTTATAATTTGGGACAGAGAGAGTAGTGAACAATTTACACCACTTATATATAGTAAAACAATTTCGAAGAAAAAACAAATCCTAACAATCTATCTCAAAGAAAAAACAAATCCTAACAATAAATTAGGCACACACGTCTAGATTCATAAGTAAGATTAGGTTTCATAGGACGAAGGGCGTGTAAGATGTATTCCCCTCGTTAAAAAAAACTAACTTTTGTCAGAAGTTCATTTTTATTGCACGGATGGTGTATGTGCGGGTGGTAATAGTGGAGCCAAAGCCCGGCTAGCACGGGCAATGTGCCCGGGCTCCGCTATATGCAACCATTTGGCAGGTATGTAATACTCAGTAGTTTTTTTAGAAAAACTAGCTAATCAAACCCCTGTACAATCTAAAGAAGCCGTGCTATCAATGAAATTAGCAAAGCAATTAAGCCTCACTACATCGGATGTGTTCATGTCAACGGTTAATTATATGGATTAACGTGTGTACTAGTTATCCATTATTTAGTTTGTCCGAGTTTAAGAAAATTTCTAAATCCGCCACGCGGTTGGTGATAATGGATGTCTCGCACAGCGGTCCGTCTGCAGATGATCCCATCCTGACTCCTGAGAAGGGGTGATCCCATCCGGAATATCCCATTATCCCTCTTGTTGAGATTGCAGGTTCGGAGTATCGACTTTGACAGCTCCAATGGCGCCAAAACTAGCCAACCTTTCTCTAGTGTATGTCGTTAATCCTGATTGCTACAGCCATATATATTCACATGAGCGTCGCTCTCTCACTAAAATTACAAAAAAAGTGGTTATCCCCGGACCTTTTCCACCATAGAGATTAGAGAGCAGGTTCAGATTTGAGAACCTGTATGATTTCTCTGCGTCAGGTGCTTTACTGATTCTTCCGGCCTTTTTGTTCAGGCTGCACTGCACTACGGGCTTTATTCAGTTGCGGATCACACGCGAGTTAGGGGTAAATATGGGCCGCGAAGCATGCGAAAGGCCCAATTCACCCACGACGCCCACCAGCCAGTCCTTCCAGCCAGTTGGGCCGCCGTCCTGCGCGTCACCCGCGAACTCTCCGCCGCCGGTAGTGCTTTCCGTGTCATCTCGCCCCCTTTATTACTTGGAGCACTCATTGCCGACCTAATTACGCACACATCCACCACCTCCACCACGCCGGCGATTAGCCGGCATCCTCCTGTTGATGCACGATTTGCGCAGCCTCCCCGAGAGATCGGCCGTGCCATGTGTGAGGAAGTCCACGAGACTCCGTGGTGGTTTCTGACGGCACCCACCCCACCCACGTTCTGATCCTGGCTTACACATCATCACCGATCGATCGATCGATCTCTCCACCCTTATCATCGGCAGGCGCGCTTCTCCGCCACCGTGAAAAGCGCGACCAACCATCCATATTCACACACCTGATACCTACCTAAAAGAGAGAAAAGCACACGGGAGGCGAGGGTTTCATGCCATGCGTGGACTTTTGATATGGACTTTCTGAACTCTGAAGGCCGGAAGTCAAGCTGATTGGCTGCTGAGTGCTGGTTGCATATGCTACATCGGTAGACAGGGGGTTTGTTTAGTTCACGCTAGAATCGAAAGTTTGGTTGATATTAGAACGATGTGACGGAAAAGTTAAAAGTTTGTGTGTGTAAGAAAATTTTGATGTGATGAAAAAGTTGGAAGTTTGAAAAAAAAAAGTTTATAACTAAACTCGGCTAGGGTATAGCCCCACCGCACACCGGTCGCTGATGACATGTGCAATGATTCTATCGATCCGCATTCAATTGTCACACAAGGACACAAGGTGAGTGAAAGACGAACGCGCTTATAGTCGGTTTTGATGATCGGAGATCACATTCCACAATCTTGGCTTGGCTGTCCTTTTTAATGCATGAGGATCAGAGCATCATACAACTAGCTAGCTACTAGCTCGCCCCGCTTGGAAAAGACGAAGTAACGTGCTTTCTAAGCCTGAACTTGCAGCGAAGAGATCGTACTACAGAGATCACGGATCGATACCGTGATTGAAGAACAGGGTAACGCACGCAGGGTCGCTGATGTAAACATCAGCTAGTGCTGATCGCTCTGGTCGGCATACAATTAGCGATCGAGACGGTCCGGCCGCGAGCGCAACGGTGTCACAGGTTCTCAGTGATGCAAACTGTTTGACTGATCTTTCAGCGCGCCCCTCGGCCAGCCTTTTCCTGCGCTTTTTATCTGTAAAGCGAGATATGCTATCGATCGCTTACGTACTTATCGTGATACACGGAGCTGTACTGTGCGCTGGGCGCGAATATATACAACCTCTCGTTTCATCTGCCTCGGTGCGGTTGATGTCAATCTGTATGCCAAGTTCTAGAACTGCTTTTCGTGTTTTTTTACTACTACTTCTTCCGACTACCATGGAGTGGGCACGGTTTGGTTGGATTAATGTAGCTGTCCATTAACCCCTTTTCCTGAGCTTTTTTGATGCTGTAATCTCGCTTTACAGTATCTGGAGATGTGTAGGAGAGAAATCACCTGACTCCTGCTGACTATTCTTTGATGAACGATGTAGTTCACCAAAGTGAGAAAAACGCAAAAAAGAAAATCACTGGATTTCAGTGTTTTGCAAATGCTTGTCCTATCCAAAAGGGAGAAAAAAAGGTGAAAGATAGGCGAAAGTCAAAGGCATCCTGAACCAATCACGATCAGAAGGTGCACTTTTACCCTTTTTTTTTCCTTGTGCCTTTTGCACTTTCTCTTATCAGTGAAGCTCTCCAAAAATAGCTAAAAACTCAGGGGAAATATCGCCAAACTCTTATATAAAACCGGTAAAGGGCCCCCATCTACGGACCCTGACGGAGGACGGGAAGAGTTTTTTCTCTCTTTCTCTCTCCTTGGCTTCGGCAACTCTGTTCCTCCTCCCACCCTCGCGAATCGCGATTCGCATCCGAGCCCCCCCGTTTCCCCCGGCTTCTCCGGCACATCCTTTTTAGATCCTAGGTCTCCACGTAGTATCCGGGGAACCGAAGCGGGGGTTGCTGCCACAAAAGGTGGCGCGTCTTGAGGAGTTTGCGATTGTTTTTCTTGGCCGTTAGGTGCAAATTTCACTTGCTAAAGGTGGGAGAGGAGTTGAATGTTTAACGCAGGGTTTCCGCCGCATTTCGTATTGAGTGGTGAAATCTAACCGAATGTACAATTCTTTGCTACCTTTTCAGGTGAAATTGAGTGATTCTTGGTCTTGGAATTGTGCAATAGGCAACAAAAACATCGCATCTTTGCGCCGGGGGGGGGGGGGGGGGGGTTTCCGAGTTGATTTGGGGAGGGGTGGCGGTGACACAGGGGGCAAGCTTAGCAGGGAGATGAGGGATGTGGCCGTGGCTGGAGAGGATTGCGTCCGCGTGCTGGGACCGGGTCCGGAGGTACGCGCTTACGAGGAGGGATGAGGAAGACGGCAGCGGCAGCGGCGGCGACGCCGACGACCTGCTGCTGTGGTCGCGGGACCTCGTGCGCCACGCGGCGGGCGAGTTCTCCTTCGCCGTGGTGCAGGCGAACGACGTGCTCGAGGACCACAGCCAGGTCGAGACTGGCGCCGCCGCCACCTTCATCGGCGTCTACGACGGCCACGGCGGCGCGGAGGCTTCCCGATTCATCTCCAACCACCTTGCCGCGCACCTCGTCCGTACGTTTGCTCCTCTCTCCTGATGAATCCACTTTACTCATTTCAGCTGGGTGTAGATTGCAGGATGTTTCACAGGCTTATAGGTTTAAATCTGTTATATTTGATAGTCTTGGATCATTAGCGTTGAATTTTTGGTAGTTAGTATAGTTCATTTCTTCAATTGTTTTTCAGGGTTGCATGTGCACTGGTACACCTCTTTTCTGGAATTATAGGTTTAAATTTGTCATATTTGATAGTCTTGGATCATTAGCGTTGAATTTTCAATTGTTTTAGTGTACCATACACTCCGGCAGTTAAAAAAAAAGAGGGGTGTCTTGGTGTATCTATATAGTCAAACCTTCTTAAAAGTCCCGTTTCTAAAAAAAAAACCTTCTTAAAAGTCAAAACTTTGTCTATTTATGTCATTATTAATCTTGAGGTTAAATGCACAATGGATGTAGATATTCCTTATGTCCGAATTATCATGGTGGAGATTGTTTGCAGTATTGTATCTGCAATAGTTATCGGCCCACATGTCAATTTAAAACCCTTCCCTTCTTAATAAAACTTGTCCGGCTTATGCTGGCCCAGAGGTAATATACCCTTTTATCATGAATACAATGGGTAATGAAATGACCTATGTTTGTTCTTTGTGTTTCCCTGCAATTACTAATGTAATTCTATTACCAACTTTACTCTAAAAAGAAGGGAATATACTATCTTGGTTCTGTGACTTCTATCATTATACTTCATAGAGTAATGTGACTAATCGGATCTTTCCAACCAAAAGAAAAAAAAAGGAGTGGTCGAGTATGTCTCTGTCCTTCATTTCTTTGTTCAACTCGCTACTTGTGACGGAGTGCTTAAGGAACTTGACTTATTCATGTTGTTACTGTATTCCAGGTCTGGCTCAAGAGCGTGGAACAATTTCGGAGGATATTGTTCGAAATGCCTTTTCTGCTACAGAGGAAGGCTTCTTGTCACTTGTGCGCAGGACACATTTAATAAAGCCTTCTATTGCCTCTATTGGGTCTTGCTGTCTAGTAGGTATCATATGGAAAGGAACACTCTACCTGGCCAATCTTGGAGATTCTCGGGCAGTTGTTGGTTGTTTAACCGGGTCAAACAAAATTGTTGCTGAGCAGCTAACAAGAGACCACAATGCAAGCATGGAAGAAGTGAGGCAGGAACTTCGATCCCTTCATCCCGACGATTCGCAAATTGTTGTTCTTAAGAATGGTGTATGGCGCATCAAAGGCATAATACAGGTAGGCAAAACTTTTATGGAATGTTTCTGTTCATGACTGCTTATTTGTTGTGGTAAAAGCAAGAATTGTAGTGGCAGGCAGATAAAATAAACTCAATTATAGTAGTGGAATAGAGTTAATTTCATATGATTTTAGTAAGTTTAACATAGGGGCTGCAAATAGTGTTAACAGTTTAACCTGTTTGCTGCCGCTATGTTAAACTGTTACTAAAACTGTATCTCTACTATTCCATTGTGACAAGTAGCAGGTGATCAACTGATCATCAAATTGCATTTCTATGTTCAATAGTACATTTTATGGAATAGCCATATGAAACTTATTTGTTTATCTCATTAAATTTTCTTCTTCGAAACATTTTTCTGATTTACTCTCTTAGGTTTCAAGGTCTATAGGTGATGCATACTTGAAGAAGCAAGAATTCGCTCTTGATCCATCTATGACCCGTTTCCACCTTTCTGAGCCTCTACGACGGCCTGTTCTAACATCAGAGCCGTCTATATATACGAGAGTTCTTCATTCACAAGATAGTTTCTTTATCTTCGCATCGGATGGATTATGGGAGCACTTGACAAACCAGCAAGCAGTTGAAATTGTCCACAACAATCCACGAGAAGTATGTGCAATCCTTTTTGTTTTGTTGTTATGCTGATGACATTTGTTCTCTTTGCAGATATTAAATTATTCTTTCCTTATTTTATAGGGTATTGCAAGGAGGTTAGTAAAAGCAGCTTTGAAAGAAGCTGCCCGGAAGAGGGAAATGAAGTACAATGATATCAAGAAACTTGAGAAAGGAGTACGCCGCTTCTTCCATGATGACATCACGGTTGTGGTTGTTTTCATTGATCATGAGCTCCTACAAGATGGGGATGAGTCTACTCCTGAAATTTCAGTTCGCGGATTTGTTGACTCAGGGGGGCCCTCGAGCTTTTCAGGGTTAAATGGCATTTCTTGACATGCTAATTAACCTAGTTATGTTGATGCCTTTCGTTCCAGTGTAATCATATACTTCAAAGTTTCCTAATGGTTCTTTTTTCTTGCATAGTATAATACTTTGCACATATTAACCCTATGCCTTCTTGGAATTGGCCTACACATTTTAGTGGTTCTGTTAGTACTCTCCTTAGAATAAGCACACCCATTGGAAGGCCGATCAGATGGGAGTTGGGATTGGTGGTTTATCAATATATCTGAGTTTTATTGTTTTCTAACGTGTTTGTTGATCATCAATTGTGGTAAACTGCCCATCGATACCAAGAGATCAAGCATGAACAACCAAGAAAATTGTTTCCTACAGTAACACATTTTTGCCATCTGAATGCTTCAAAGCTGGGCACTGTCAAAGACTCGCAATATTTCAATTCCTCCCAAGTGGGATTAACCTAACATTAATTACATGCAATCCTACTTGATGGACAACTCCCCTTCATCTATTGGATGGGCATGATTCATTTCTGTCATCGATGGGCAATCTGCCAATAGCACTAATTCGCACTGTTGGACCTCTTCCATTGTGAATTGTGTCACTTGATTGTGATCAGTTTGTCACGAGAACTGCCCCTGATTGACCTTTTCACTCCTGCAATTCCCTCCTTTGAGAAGTAATTCCTTCCTACAAACTTATATAATTCCTTCCTCCGTCCGTCTTGTACTGATCAGAAGAACCATGAAACTTCCCAGTAGCATCCTCTGCCTCTCTCTGCTAGCTTCAACATCTCTTCAGATCCTAGGCAGCACCTGCAGTTGCTTGCACTTCAATTTCCCCAACTTTGACACAACCAGCGTGGATGATTTCAGCTTCAGCCCAGGCTCAGGGATCGCCAATGGATCCCTGCAGATCACACTAAGCACCGGGAACATCACTAACCAATCCGGGAGAGTATGCTACACTAGGGAGACACTCAGACTGTGGGATAGCAAGAAGAGAACAGTAGCATCCTTCAGGACAGAGTTTGTGCTGAACATCCTCCCAAACCAGCAGCAGAACGAGACCGGTGAAGGCCTAGCCTTCATCCTCACCAGCAACCTCTCGTCGCCTCGCGGCAGCAGCGGCCAGTGGCTCGGCATCGCCAACGAGCAGACTGACGGGTCGCCGGCAAACCGGATTGTGGCCGTGGAATTCGACACGAGGAAGAGCTACGACGAGGATCTTGACAGCAACCATGTCGGGCTCGACGTCAACGGCATCAGATCCGTCGTGCAGTATCCACTCAGTAACGTTTCTATCTTCCTCTCGAGTGGTTTCGATTTGTTCGTCAGTATCAGCTACAAAAGCAGGTTTCGATTGTTGATAGTAGAAGCGATGCAGTTGAGTACCAGAGGGCTGCATGTTGTTGTTCAGGCTTGGCCCATTGATCTATCACGCTATCTTTCGGAGGAGATATATGTGGGGTTTGCGGGTTCAACCGGGGAATTCACTGAACTGAACCAGATCAAATCTTGGAAGTTCATCACGGCTGGCGACTTCGACAGTAAGGCAGTCAGGCAGGAGTGGACAGGTCACAGGTGACAGAAGCGATTTGGTTTATGTTGGTTGTGTTATTTCCTTGTACGGTTTTTGCACTCTACATGTGGGGAAATTTTGAACAACGGAGAATCCTACAGATTGAGACGAAGAACTATGTGCCATCAATGTACTAATATGTCTCGCCATCGGACTTGATCTGAATAATACTCCACAGTGTAATATCTTCCCGCATGTTCTGCACATGTGTACATCAGATTTGATCTGAATAGTAAATCAGCCTTTCAAAGCTATGTTTGAAATTTTGAAAAGGGACATCTTATCTTTGCTTTGGTAAACTTCCAACCGTCATCTGATCTTGGAAAAAGTCCACCTGGACTCCCTTAACTATAGGTCGAATTCGATTCATATCCCTTAATTGTAAAACCGGGTATGTTGACCCCTTCAACTATTAAAACCGTGTAAAATAGCTCCCCAGTGGTTTTCGTTGATGTGGCGTCTATGTGTTGCATTGACTTAGTCTTTGTGATCTGACGTGGTATTACAATAACGAAAATAATAAAAATAATACATGGGACTCATGGGCAAGTGATTGTTTCCTCTTTGTTCCCCCTTTCTCCTCTCTCTCTCTCTCTCTCTCTCTCTCTGTTTGTAGCCGAGGCGACGGCGAGGACCGACAAGATCAAGATGGTGCTTGACGAAAGAAGAGTCGGAGCTAGCTGGTACCTCGTCGGTGGGAGAGGATGGTGGCACCGACGCTGACACCGACAAGCTCGAGGGGGGGGAGGGCGGTCGACAGCTTCGATGGTTCAGGAGCTGGGCGCCGACATGGCCCGAGGTGGAGCCGTCTGTTGACGCGAAAAACACACACTGGCTTGGGAGATCTGTTTAGCTCCAGTGTAGGTTCAAAGGTTGATGAGGTGCGAACGTGCCAGTCAGTTTGATCTTGCAACTGACAAGATATGCAAATAGCATATCAATGAGCCGATCGGCTAACAAGCCGATGGAGCGATTCCAGTCAATGCCGATACCAGCCGATGGCGCTAGGGTTTTGAGCTATCGGCTATATGTCCAATGTAGATAATGATATAAAGATAATCGGCTGATGATAATAAAATATAGCAATAATATGATCCAATAGAAACTATTTAGCTAACAATGATATGATAGAATAAGCACTGATCCGAAGGTTAAAGAATACATCGGCTGGAGGTCCGATGTCATAAAATCCACAAGATTAGATAGATGAATGAAACCTCTGTTGTCATCGGCTAAATCCAACTTATATGTATATGCTATCCTTATAAGCCGATGCAACCTCCAGATAACTTATCGGTTAGCGTCCCGATAAAACATTAGCATGAACCTATCGGCTTAACAAGACTTATATTATCAACAACAATCTAGTAGGTCGAACCTAACCGATGCAGCACGAGATTGTATATGATAATCTAATACCCGATGAGCCGATAGATCTGTCTAATGTGATGGATATAACAAATCTATTTATAACAGCATTGTGATTGTAGAGATATATCGGCTAAGACAGAAGATCGGACCTAACCGAGACAGTCCCAACTAAACCGATGCGTCTCTAAATACAATGCAACTAGAGATGGAATTGAGATATCAGGTAAGCAAATATATTAACCAAACCAGAGGGATCCAAGAGATCGAAGCGATGCAGTCTTGAACAACACCAATGTAGCCAATAGATTCACTAGGGCCGGCGAAACATAGGGCTTACCCCTTCGCCGGAGATCGAACTGAACCGATGCAGTCCCGCGTCAGGTGTCAGATTCCGCCAGTTGATAAGTAAAAACCTCGGGAAAGAGGGTGGCGATGCGCCGAGAATAATTGTATTTATCGTGAGATAGTTTACAATGACCGCTGTACATATTTATACCCATAGGGGATACTAGTCCTTGTAGGACAAGAAATAAAGTTTCCTAAAGATAAAAGGAAAACATAAAGTCCTTATAGGACACTAAACACATTTTCCTAAAGATAAAAAAAAACTAACAAACTATTTTTAATTAATAGATAACTTGCCATGTCACATTCTTCTTGAACTCGGTCACTTCTAGATAAGCTTACTTTGATAGATTAATTTCCTTAACCGTATAGCAGTAATTCGACTATTGACGATATGATAATTCTGTTAAGTGCTTACCAAATTTCGGCATTAACACCGTCTCTCACCGAGGAGGCCGAGCGGCGGCGATGGCTGAGGAGGCCACCGCTGCCACCTGGGTCGCAAGCGGTGAGGAAGTGGGGTTCCCAGGATATGGGCGAGGAGAAGTCGACATGTCCGGCAAGAACTACGATGCGGGTTGATGTATTCCTCGTTTCCTTCTCCCCGAAGCAGTAGCAGCAACGACCCTTGCTCTAGCCATTGTAGCGCCCTCATGTTACGCTGTCACTCTGGGACACACTGCACATCGAGTGGACACAATCAGCTGGTTGCTTGCTCAACCCAACGTAACCCACACCCCGCCCCGCGCGCGCTATCACCACAAATCTAACGGGTCTGACGATGGTATCTAAGATGGAAGAGCGCCTCGTTGGCCTTTTTGCGATGGTCAGAGCCGTCGTCGGAGACCAAGCTAGTGACCGTGAGGGTGAAGAGGACAAGCAATAGACAGGGCCGCCATAGCCGACAAGGCCATCGCTCTCGCCGAGGCCCACCGCGACGAGCCATCGCGAGGCCGAGCCACCGCCGCTCCCCTCGTCCTCCGCTGCCGTGAGGCCAAGCCGACGCAGTCCTCCTTGGCTCTGTCATCCAGCCCCCGGTTCCGCCATGACACAATTATCAGTTAAGGACTTCAGAAGGTGAGTGTGCCATCGCTTAGAAGATACGCTCTTTTCGCTCCTTTTAAATTTGCCATGACACAATTATCAGTTTATCACCACCGTGTCCATTTTCCTTCTCTACGGTTCAATTAGAGTTTTTCTTGTGGCTATCCACCAGGCAAAGACATTGCTCTCCATTTCTATGACGAGAAATCATTTATATTACGAGAAATGGAGTAGTTCCCACAAATTATTATACTTGAATCACTAATGCGACTTTTTTTTCTCATTAAGATATATATTTTATCTTGGTTTTCGTTAGCATGCTTTTCAAACTAATAAATGTTGTGTTATGTGTAAAAACTTTATATATAGAAATTGCTTTAAAATATCAAATATATCCATTTGTCAAGTTTGTAATAATTAAAACTTAATTAATTATGTGCTGATAGTTTTCTTGTTTCACATACACCAATTTAATCCTCATCTTCATCAGTTTCAAATTAGGTCTCGTTCTTTTCTCCAACGAGAATTAGATGAAGATTAAGATTTTCGTGGCACACTTTTTCAAACTGCTAAACGATGCGTTTCGTGCGAAAACTTTCTATATGAAAGTTGCTCTAAAATATCATATAAATCTATTTTTCAAGTTTGTAATAATTAAAACTCAATCAATCATACGTTAATACCATATCGTTTTGCGTAAAAATCTTAATCTTCGTCTCTTCAGTAGAAAAGAACAACACCTTAGTGATCGGGAGACCATTTCCGCATTGATGACGAATCTTGGTCTATAAGAAATTGTTTAGCTTCAATAATTTCTTCTCCAGTCCTTCAGAGTTCAGACTTGGCAATAGCGATATGTCACTGAACATTATCTTCTTCTCCTTGAGTCCTCGTCCTTTGTATATGGATCAATGGATGTCCTATTTTATAGGGGATTACTAGTTTACTACTACACTTCAAAATTCTTAAATGGCATTCTTAATTTCTCTAAACTTCATGTGAACGTCGATTCCTCTACCTGAGTATTTTCTATGTTCAACTTCGTTGTTTAGTGCACACATGTTTTGCGATGGTTAGTCCCTTGCAGCTAGACAATCTTATGCCGTTGACTGACTCTTCGAAGTTCCAAGTTCCAATTTGGCCACAAATTCCTTTCACCAAAACTTTGTTTTGAAGGCATAGCATTACTGCATCACAGAGAAGCTATGACTACTATGAATTCATCTCTTCTGCCTTCTTGCCGATGCCTACCAGAAAACACCAAGAACCATTTTGCTAGCCATGGCAATCCTCCACTCTACCACCTTTTGCTTTTCCTTTGTAGCTTCCCTTGCACTTATCATACTTGACAGAACGTGTAGCTGCTTACAGTTCACTTACCCAAGCTTTGGCACTCCCAACAAGGCCGATTTCAACTTCAGCGCAGGCTCCGGAATAGCAAATGGATCCCTGGTGATCACACCGAGCACCGGCGACATCAGCCACCGATCGGGAAGAGTGCTCTACGCAAGGGAGACGCTCAAGCTGTGGAACAGCCGGCGATCGGCGCTGACATCGTTCAGGACGGAGTTCGTGCTCAACATCCTTCCACGGAATCAGACAGGAGAAGGAATGGCTTTCATCCTGACGAATAACCCGGAACTGCCTACCGACAGCAGCGGGCAGTGGCTCGGCATTTGCAACAACCGGACAGATGGCGATCCGAAGAACCGAATTGTAGCCGTGGAATTCGACACGAGGATGAGCGTCAACGAAACTGACGGCAATCACGTTGGGCTCGACATCAACAGCATCGGATCTTTGGATCCGTACCCTCTAAGCAATGTTTCATTAATCCTCTCGAGTGGTGCTGATGTACAGGTCAGGATCACTTACAATAGTACAGAGCAAGTACTGGTGGCAATTTTAATCCAGTTCGACACGACTGGGGCGCACTATGGTTCCAAAGCTTGGTCCGTCGATCTATCACAATTTCTATTCGACGACGTATATGTGGGATTTGCAGGTTCAACAGGTGATTTCACCGAGCTGAACCAAATAAAGTCTTGGAACTTTGCCACAATCGACGACGATATCACGACCGGAAGAAGGCATGGGAGAAAGGTGCTTCTGCCTCTCGTTGCCTTCATACTATTTGCTATGTCTTCGTTTCTTGTGTTCTTGGTGTGGAGAAGGTCGACGCGGAAGAGAAGGCTCGCCTACCGCAACCTCGAGAAGATGATCGACGCCCATGGCCCTGTCAAATTTAAGCTCAAGGAGCTCAGGCGTGCGACTGCCAACTTCAGCTCCTCGCGCAAGCTCGGCAGAGGTGGCTTCGGCACCGTGTACCACGGCTACCTGAGCAGCATGAACATGGAGGTGGCCGTCAAGCGGGTGGCAGCGAACAACAAATCCAGTTCCAACCGAGGAGAGCAGGAGTTCGTCGCGGAGGTGAACACGATCAGCAAGCTCTCGCACCGCAACCTCGTGAAGCTGATCGGGTGGTGCCACGAGGGAGGCGAGCTGCTCCTCGTCTACGAGTACTTCCCCATGGGTAGCCTGGACAAGCTCCTGTATGGCGGTGCTAGACCGGCTGAGCTGACCTGGGAGCGACGGTACAAGATAATCTGCGGCGTGGCGTCCGCGCTGGAGTACCTGCACCACGGGAGCAGCAGCCGGATCCTCCACAGGGACGTCAAGGCGAGCAACGTCATGCTCGACGAGGAGTACAGCGCGCGCCTCGGCGACTTCGGCCTCGCCCGTGTCATCCACCTCGACGAGGTGACGCACCACTCGACGCAGGCCGTGGCGGGCACCCGCGGCTACATGGCGTACGAGTGCTTCTTCACCGGACGCGCCAGCCTCGACACGGACGTGTACGCGTTCGGGGTGTTCGTCATGGAGGTGCTCACCGGGAGGAGCCCGAGCAGCTCCGTGACGTACCACAACCGCCAGCAGGAGCATGACCACGACGGCCGCCGCCAGCCGATGTACATCGTGGACTGGATGTGGAGGCACTACGGCGACGGGACGGTCCTGGAGGCGGCCGACGCGGTGCTCGGTGGCGCGTACGACGAGGCTCAGGTGGAGCGCGCGGCGAGGCTGGCGCTGGCGTGCTGCCACCCCAGCCCGAGGGAGAGGCCGTCCATGAGGACGGCCGTGCAGGTGCTGGTCGGCGGAGCCCCTGCGCCGGAGCCACCGTTCGAGAAGCCTGCGTTTGTTTGGCCTCCCGACGGCAAGCGGCAGGAGATCGAGCTGCCGCACGTCGGCGTGCTGTTCACCGGAGGGCAGCTCAGTTTCTGCTCCATGACATCCACTTCCATCACCGGGAGGTGAGTATAGCAGAGAGTTGTACGCTTCGTACGGTCGTACCGCGAGCCGAGCCGCCGCGCGATGATTTGGTTTGTTGCCGTATGTAAAAAGTGTAGCAGAGTTGCACGACTTTCTTGTTCTTGTAACTTGTTCGTATCGTGTAACATGTTCAGTTCTTGCTACTTAGCCCAGGCCCAGCATGATTCCACCTTATGGGCCGTGTCCAACAACGAGGCCCATCTTGGCCATGCCGTCTCCTCCTTCAAGTCACAATTAGGTCCAAACTCAGTGATCAGCCATGTTACCCCTCATGGTGGACGCCTGTAACATGTACGCAGGCGGAGTGGAGACGGACGACGTGGTGTTCATCCACTGGTCTGTATCATCGTTGGTATTGGCGGATCTAAAAAGAAATAGCAGTGAACACTAGACGTCTATAACGAACCGTAACGACTAATCCGCAACACCAAACAAAACGCTAGTGCATCTGCGCGCATGCGTTCACGGCTCCACCGACTTCCCCAAACCTTTACTCAAGATCAAAAGGGAAACCCCGGACACGTAACGTGCCCCGTGTCCAACAGCTCTGGCCTGGGTCAGTGCGCGCCCATGAGGTCGCGACGTGGCCTCGCTAAACCTTGGTGATCTCTTCTCGGCCACAAGCTCGTCGCCTCGTCCTCTAGTGGTGGTAGGGCGCCGTACAAGTCCAGATCTCACCGGTGTCCGTGCGTTCTCTGCCAAGTGTTGCCTCGGCAGTGGCCGGTCAGGCGCTTTACTACTTTATTCAGAAGGGGCGTTTGCTTTACAGGTCAGCGTGGTCGGGTTTTCCATTCAATATCGTCGTAGCGGGCGACAAACCTCGTGCCTGCCTGCCGTGGTCGCGATTCGCGAACAACGGGTGGGGGCAACGGCAACCGCCGGAGTCATCGTATCCAACCAAAACGGGAGAGTCTCCATCCGAGACCTAAACTAGGTAAACTTTCGCGTGTATTATCGCCGCCACGGCGTCGCGTTCTTGTGTTTGTATAGGTGGGTGACGTAAGTGTGTAGGGCTGCTACTGTAGTGCTACTGGCATGTATGCTCCAGCTCTCAGGCCGTGACTCATCGATGATGTCAACTAGCAACCAAAGGGCCCAACAGGATGTCACAACGGTGACACTATGGAACAGGGCAGTATGCAGCACGCTCGATCGATGAGGTGTGCAGGCAGTACAGTCGTGCACCTATTTTTCAAAGGGAAAAAAAAGGAGGTAGTACTCCACTAACTGTAAATCTGTAACAGTAAGAATCTCGTAGTAAGAATCTCGTAGTAGTATTCTCGTTTGTTGCTGCCGCCGCAAATTAGTCAGATCATCGACGGGACGGTAAGGGCATGTTCAATGCGTCTCTGGTCGTTCCCTCATCGACGAACGTCCGCTTTTCCATCTGTGCCGACTCCTTATGATGGAGCGCGTCCCTCGGCTGAGGGACGTGTCTCTCGCCACTTTTCGGCCGAGCGACACAGCCAAGAGATGCGTTGGGGAGGCGACGGGCTCCTGTGGACATCGGTTCCCTAGCTTGTATTCCTATTCCACCCCTTGGCACAGCTGGAGTCGTCGCTGGACGAATCGCCGGAAGAAGAGCAACGGCATGTACCATAGAATCCGATGACGACGACGAAGAGGGAGAGAGGAGCTTCGTCACGACCACCGGGACCGGGATGGCTTCCTCGGCGTCCTCCCAGAGCGCGGCGCGGCCAGGCCGAGACGGCGCCGAGGCGGACCTACAAGAGAGAGAGAGAGCGGCGAGCGGCGGTGGCGACGGATCCGCGGTGGAGGTGATGGATCCGCGACAGAGGCGATGGATCTGCAGCGGAATAGGCGGCTCTCCTCGTCGCCCTCGCCGATGATGCTCCGACAGTGGCGGTGGTCCTCTTCGTTGCCCTCACAACCCTCGCGGCGCTCGCTGTCCACCTCGTGCTCGTCGTCCGCCGCCTCGACCGCCGCGACCCGTGCGGCGCTCGCCGTACGCTTTGCTGAGAGAGGGGGAGAAAGCAGAGAGCAAGTTGAGGGAGGGAGAGAGCATAGAGATGGGTGACAAGAAAGAGGGAGGAGAGAGAGATGCGTTGCCGGCAGGGGTAGGAGAGAATTAATATCTGTAGTTTTTTTTGTTGGGATACGCACTGTGGGATAGAGAATCTTCATTCAGTTACTTCGGGTTTTGAAGAACCTACTTAACTGTGGCCTCAATTAAAAGACGAGTGTCCATATGAGTGTCTTCAGTCAGTGTTGACACTCTATTTATGTCTTCCATTATACATGCATGCCCTAAAAGGAGTGGGTACTACTCCAGTTGATTACCATCAGATGACACATGAACATCAGGATCAGCCGGGAGTGCACGTGATTGTGCCACCATGGGTCCATGGCTGTTTTGGACACATTGCGTGTGACGACGCCCCTCAATCATCTCAAACCTGATCAGGTTTTCTCACCGGAGATGCTCCTATGATGGCTGTTTGGAATAACCAGGTAGGAGTAGTACTAGTACTACCCAAGTGGTGCACGTGGCATGGTGCGCCTGACAGGTCGGGCCCACGGGTCACGATCCACATCGCCCCCGAAAAAGGTCAGTGGAGAAAACAATGAGCGGTTGAGCGCAAAACATGTGGCCGAGGCGTGTCTCGGAGCCCTGCAGCGCCAACCCGTAAGCTTGTGGCCAGGGATAGTCCATTTGTTCCTCTCACGGTGGTACGGAGAAGAGAACAACAAACAGCGGGTTCTCTCCCTGCTGTGCGCCTCTGGTTGGGCGACATGTGGCGGGCGGTGAGTTGGCAGCTGCGTGTCTCGGTGGCTTTGACGTGTCCAAAAAGCGAGCGGGTGGGGGCCCCCTCCTCCGCTGCGCTTTTCTTTTCTTTCTATCCATCCAAACAGGGACAGTCCTGTCTCCTGTGCCTAGATTTGCATGTCGCCAGATACGTCTCCTGTACTCCCTTCGACTACCTCCGTCCAAAAATATAATAACTTTTTACTATAAATCTGGACACACATGTGTCCAAATTTATAGCTAAAAATGCTTACATTTTTTTATGGAGGGAGTATTTCAATTGCAGCCATGATTTTCCGTGTCTAACTTTAACCGTCTGTTTTATTTAATTTTTTTTAAAAAAATAAAAACATAAGTCAGGAGTAAAGTATTGTTTATATTTTATCATCTCATAAAAAAAACTAATTACAAAATTTTTTTAAATAAGATGGACGATCAAATTATGATCGCACTTAAAATAAAACGGAGGGAGTAGAAGAGAAAAAGCTCAATAATTCGTGTAGTACCCCGAAAGCCAGCCGAGGTGACATCACCGCAGTTCTGCTCATAGTTTGATCCAAAACAGTTTTAGAGTTTGTTCTCACTACTAAGTTCAACCCCCCAAGATATTTTCATTCTTTGCTTGCCAAAAATCATCAGCAGAAAAAAACATGAACTGCTTGTTAATTCGATCTATACCAACCGAAGTTTACCTGAAACTCTGATAACTGCAGCCTATCATGCTCCACCAGCTGCCAGGGCAATTATGGTACTATCTCCAGAGCACGCACACAGTAAATAGCAGCCTAACATCCTTCGATCTTATCGTCGGCAAAACACACACGCATAGAGTGGATAGGATCACAGGAACATGCCATCGATTCGTGAAGACCCACGAAAGCGCACGGTTTTACTCCTACACCCACATACTAGTAGTAGTAGCGGTAGCAGTACGGTACATGTGGCTAGTACTAGCAGTAATGCTTGGTCCGGAGCAGCGAGCCGTGTGGTTGCTGCAGTGTGCGAGTAGCCAACTAGTGGCAACCAGACACATGGACAAGTAGCAGCGAAGCAGGCGAAGGAAGGGGCAAGTGAGTGCCGTGAAGCAGCGAGAGCCACAAGAATCGAGCGGCTTCCGGGGCTCTCTACAGGATTGAGGCGAAAAGTGCAAAGCCGGAAAGGGAGAGAGAGAAAAAAGCGTAGAAAAATCCGATCCGACGTGGCGCCCTGGCCTGTGCCCTTTTTCTCCTCTCTCCTGCCTCCTCTTGGTCTCATTTCCCCTTCCTGCCTTGCCTCCTCGTCTCCTTCTCTGCTGCTCTCCAAGCTCTTCCTGCTTCCATCAGGTTGTCTCGAGAAAGATTGGAGTTTTTGGTGGTTTGGGTTGTGCGGTTCTTGCTTTTGTTGGCGCAAGCGCATGGCTGGTTCTGGGACATAGTGAGCTGAGATAGAGTTCTTGTGTTCGGTGGAGTTTGGCTTTGGTGAATCTTCGATTCAAGTCTGGAGATGGCGCGTTTTCAGGTAATGAATCCTTCTATCAGTCTATCTGGTGGCAAATTTTGTTCTTTGGAGTCCACTTTTCATGGCAGAAAGATTGGATTTTTTTCCCCCAATAAGATGCCACAGTAATAAATCTTTTGTTGGAAAAAGGGAGCAAAGCAAGCAGCTGCTATTCTCATGTTGCTGAAATTGACTTCTCCATCTCTCTTTTGTAGGAAACCAAGGCGAGGAATGATCAAGGACCTGTTGCTGATCATGTTGGGCACCAAAACCTCATGGAAAACCTCACAGATCCTCTGGATTCCAGTGGCATGGACATGATGGACGAAGCGCGAATTCCTAAGGTAAATCCTCCTCCTTGCAAATCACAGCAAAAGGGGGCAAATTTCGTGCAGTTAAGATCTTGTAACACCAAGCTCACGCTGTGGGTCTTGCCTTGCAGGCGCGGAAGCCATACACGATAACGAAGCAAAGGGAGAAATGGACCGAGGACGAACATAAGCTGTTCTTGGAAGCCCTGCAGCTCCATGGCCGAGCCTGGCGACGCATCCAAGGTACTAATTTTACCGCTGCAAGAAGCTGCAACGGTGAAGCACAGTTTCTGGTTTGGTAAGAATTTTACTGACAAAGGATACCTCGCTCCGGTTGCAGAGCACATAGGCACCAAGACTGCCGTGCAGATCAGGAGCCACGCACAGAAGTTCTTCTCCAAGGTCTCACAGCCTTCTCGTGCACAAAAAATTCCCTAAATGACTTGAAAAACCTCCATGGATTGTGTTGCTTGCAAGGTGATGTAAGTTGCTCAATCATGGAGAGCAGGCTGCTTTGCAATCCATGCTGCCACACTCGAGACCATGTTTCCTGACCGTTATCTGCTTTGCACTCCGGCTGCAGGTCATCAAAGAATCATCTGGGGACAATTGCAACAGCTTGGGTGCTGCATCATCAATTCAGATTCCCCCGCCGCGGCCGAAGCGTAAGCCTGTTCATCCGTACCCACGCAATCTAGGGAGCACAGCCAGCAAGAACGTCCCTGCACTGAAACAGCTAGAGAAGCCTCAGCTGCAGGTGCAGTCTCTCTACGACCAGGACAATGGGTCGCCGACGTCAGTGTTAACAGTACCACAGATACGGGCTGATACACTGGGAAGTGAGAGTGGTGGGTCGCCAACCTCGACGATTGATATTGAAGAGAGATGTCCTACACCAAGCATAGCAACTGCTGAGTTAGCTATGGAGTTGCCTCCTACAAATGACGAGGTATATTCTTAGGAGACAAAATATAGTATCCTCTGCAAGGCATATGTTCTTTATATCGTGCAGGAATATATAAGCTATTTGCTCAAGTCAATAATTCTTCACCTTGTCAGCATGGTCTTTAATTTTATATATGTTGGAACTTGAAATTCTGGTTATGCCTTGATGTATCCTTGCACAACATGATATATAGTTGGTGCCTTCTAAATCCTGAATCCTGATAGTAAATATGCATTTCAGGAGGTCAAGGGCAATGGCGATCATGAAGAAGTTACATGTGACAGATCAGGAGTTCCAGTCCTTAGGCTATTTGGCAAGAGGGTTATGGTGAATGATTTACATCAGATGTCAGCCCCTGATGCCGGGAACCTGCAAACTGTGGCAGACATGGAAGTGGACGCTTCAGCTGAGACACCAACTAGTGGAACTGGGAAATTCTCTTCCCATGGTGCAGCAGAAGCAAATACATGGAACCCATGGCTGACTAACACACAGCAGTTTCTGTATTATCTTCCTAACGGACAAATTTTCTCCGTGCATTCTGCTCTCCCATGCTTCACCTACCATAATGAGGGTGTTACTTGCACCCAGTTTTCAAACCCACAGGTGGTAGCCTCAGATCAACAGCATCAACACCAAACTTCTGAAGCTGTAGATTACAAGGGTATACAGAGGGAAGGATCTTGGACGGAGTCAAATACATCCTCAAGCAGTGTGCCTGAAACAGCAACTCATAATTCAGAGACTACAGAATCATATAGAAACGGAAACAGAAACGAAGATGAAATGGTACCTTCTCCAGATTCAAGAAAATGTGTGAGCCCAGGTTCCAACTGCAGGCGAGGCTTTGTGCCGTACAAGAGATGTGTTGCTGATAGTGAGGCGCTGCTGAAGTCACAGGCGCCTCAGGAGGAGGCAGACGGAGAGATGACGAGGCTGTGCTTATAAATTTTTGGAGCCTCGTAGATCACTGCAACTATAGATGCTTGCTACTAATATTTTGTTCACAGATGAGTAGGAACTGATGTACTGCAGGAGGGGCTGCTTTCCTGTTACAAGAGGCAGATTGAAACCGCGTTAGTACTCCACAAAACAGGGAGTGGCCGTGGTTCTTGTCTGGCCATGTACAGTTCAAATATTCTATGTTTCCATTTTCCTCGTCGTGTGTTTGTAATTTCGCTCCCATTGCGGGAGCGTTCAGAGGTCAATGGCTGTCATGCAATGACAAGTATTTTGATAGAGTTGTAGAAGGGTTGTACTGATGTAAATTATACAGTAACTTATTATCTGTAAGACAATAACAGGCGAGCTAAAGAAAACAACGTTGGAAAGCTTTGTTCAGTACTTGTTTTGACGTGAAAGTGCAACCAAATTCTGCTTGCATATTGCCATATGCTACAGTGGTACTTGGGCTGATTTTTGCTGAATTAGGACATAGGACACATCTTTTCAAATTTCTACATGCGACTCAATATGTTATCACTATATCAATTGCACAGGTGTTCTACGGAATTCCTCAATGAAGTGAATTTTAGGATGGTTGGTATCCTGGCACCGGAAAAGGCACTCGCTTGCTTTTGTTGCTTGTATTGGCAAATACACAATAAAATTCAGACATAGCGTTTGACTAGATCTAATTACCATGTCAAGTGAAACCGCTAAATGTACCAAGAATGCATCATCATCTGAGAAGTTTGGCATCACAAATAATTGAAAATTCAGTATCATCCGTTAGGATGAGATTTCAAGGGGGACAGAGTCTAAGCCTGGAATACCCAAGGCTGATATTAGCATTGCGTAAGGAAATGTACAAATCAAAAATCAAATGAAACCTTTTCCTGATACCACAGGAAAGGCGATAGCTGTGACAAGGAAAGACTTGCCATGTTTGTTTTCAAGTGTTAAGGTACTATTAGTAAAGTAGATGTGCAGTAACTCATTCATCCCAAGGTGAATTCAGTAATTGGGCAACGTTTGGAACCTAGTTAATTCAGAGTTCGGACCTTTGCCTTGCAACCTCCACAAAGATCACTCTCCCATCCAGGAACTGCACAAAGATGCAGAGAAATTGCAAATATCAGTATATTAGCTTTACCCTTTCATCAGAAGAATCAGAGACAAACAGATGAAACTCAGCCAAAAGGAAACAAAATTCAGAAGTGCCTTTTTTTCCCTCTTCTTACCTTGCCTTGCATCCCTTCCATGGCGTTCTTGGATTCCTCCTCACTGGCATAAGACAGGAAAGCGAAGCCTCTCGGCCGCTTCGCTACTCTTTCCATCACAAGATTAACTGCAGCAGCACACGGCAGAATCAAATCAAGCCCAAGAATTTTCTGAATCAAAGCTCTGTATTACGATTTTTGTGCCATGGCATTGATCTACTCCACCTTCAGTGAGCTGACCAAACCTCTCGAACGCGTTCCGTAGGCTCTCCTCGGTCGTACGGAACGACAGACCTGCTCGTGGAAGGGAGAAGCCCAGGAAATCAGCAGAAATCAGGAACAGCGATGAGCGATTGCTTTAAGATTTGTGCTGAAGAACACGGAGAGATATGTGTTGCGAAATCTTCGCGGGGAGGAGGGAGGAGGGAGCGCGTCGAGATAAGATACCAACCGCTCACGTACAGCCTAGAAGCGGCGCCATGGGAGGCGCTCGGCGGCGGGTGGTTGCGAGCGGCGGCGGCGGTGGGGAGACGGCGCTGGCTGCAGGACACACCGGAGGAGGCCACCGGACGAAGCGGGTGTGAGGATGAGGGGGAGGCAGCGAGGGAGACGCTGATGGTTCTAGGTGGAGCGGCGACGGGGATGACGGCGGCGCGAGCTCCCGCCATTGCTCCGGCCCGGAGAGGGTGGTATCCTGATGGTTTCAGCCTTTCAGGAGTTGTTTTCGCCTTTTCGGATAGGGTTAGGGTTGGAGGTTTTCTCCCTCCGAAAAGAAACCGTATCCTCAACGTTTCAAACTTCCATTGCAGGCACGAGAAATTCAGAAACCGATATCAGCATTATTTTCTTCATGAAACTGATCAATTACAGTCGAGATCCAACATCCATGATCTCATCGATCTGAAACCTAGCCTGTACATCCAAAGTCAGCTGATCAGCTCTACCCATTGGATGCTTTGCTTTTATCTACAGCATTACTGGTCATGCTAAGAAGCAAATTATGAAAATTATGAATAGTGGTTATATTTCTCTAGGTTGCTTACACAATTTCATCTGCTTCATGTCATGTTGTTTTTAGGCTGACGACTACGCATTTCAGTTTGCTCTATTAACATTGGCAGAACTGATCAATCTCTCCAACTATTGGCAGAACTGATTACCCCTGTACAATCTTTTGCTGGTCACCGTGTTGAAGAGCAGCTCAAAGTTACAGACGGTGTTGCCATTTGTTCAACCTTGTAGTTGTCATATACCCTGGTCTTGTTATGTTCCCACCAATGCTGAGCTTCCTTCTCACCAAAATGCTTCCGGCTGCACAGCCAAGAATTCAGGTTATGTCAAGTAAAAGAACAGACAATCAGCAATTCAGCATATAAAACTAATATGGCCTTAGAGGGTTCACCTGAATCTTATGCGCTTTATGTCTTTCTTTCCACAGGACGATGTAGAAAATGTGACATATACACCATGCTCAATTTGTTCAGTCACACTATCAGTCGGAGGGGCAGCCAATGGTGCTTCCGTGGTGTACCCATCGCTGCTAAATTTCCTGGCCCCATTCTGTTGACTGAACGGTACATCTTCTGGCACAACAGCATTTGACAAAGGTACACATTCCTTTTCTGTTTGGATGCTGCTGCCATGATTTTGGGTATTGTTCAGCTGGCCGAGTTTGCGTGTGACCAGATTCCGGCCGGTGTTCCCTTGCAATTCTATTTTCGTCGGTTGCATTGGGATGCTATTAGGTGTTATCTTGGAGTTTTCTGACAGCTGACCAATTGAAAGTTTCTCTGACAAGGCATTGCACTGCACATTTCGCAATACACCAAGTTAATAGGTCATATATCAACCAAAAGTTCAGAACGCCCCAGCCCCCCACGATATAAGGTAATGCTGTATTACATTAGTTCTTTGTTGCTCAAGAAAAAGGTACCAGCAGTACTCTACAATGAGATTACGTCGAGCTCATACCTGATCAGTTAGAACCTTTATGATATCTTTGGCAGCTTTGCACCTTGCGGCCTCATCCCTAACAACTAACCATGTATCATCCAGTTTTTGTTTGTATAGCTGAACCATAACACTTTTTTGCTGACACTGCTCTGTGAGAACAGCTACCTGCTTGAACAATAAATATGTAATTTTTGCAGTTACCAAATTTGGTAATGGATATTATAAATGAATTACCCTCCAAGCTTAATACTATGATACGCAAATCTTATGCGTATTCCCGGAAAAAAAATACCTGTGAATGAAGTTGTTTCACTTGTCCTTGAAGTTCTGTTTGCATCATTTCTATTTCTTCTCTTTGAGCGTCAGTAAACCGTAAAGAGACGCCAGACTTAAGCACCGCAGAATCATGCATTCTTTGTGAAAAAGAGATAGCACACCCCTCACTATTTGATACCGGCTGAGTTTGAAAACTGTCTTGTGCAGATATGAATAGAGCAGGGCACTCAACTTGCCCCCATCTTTCAGTTTTTGTCTGCACTGCAGTGGCAGGTTCCTCATTTCTCTGATTAGTACCTTGTACTGAAGCCATCTTTTCTGCAAAAAAGTTTGCTTCCTTGAATAGGCGTGACAATTTAGGTGTGTATGCCTTTAATTCCAATTTAAACATTTCTCCTTTGCTGATCTTTAGCCTAGACTTATCTTTGCTAGAATCCACAACTTTCTGCAACTGATAGAAACAGGCATCGCAAACACGGTACCTTCTGTTTGTGTCTGGTGCAAGTGCTGCCATCGTGATCTTGTTACTAGTGCAGGAACTGCAGAACATGGAACCACAGTTGTAACAGTTGTGCTCCTTTCTAGTAAAACCAAAAACCATCTGGCAACTGCTGCATACAGATTGGTCCTTCATTGACATCGTCTTGTGCAAACAGATCGCAGCAGTAAAATTGAACCCACAAACTACACTTTCAACATCCCTGCCTTCTAATGCCTCTACTAAAGTTGGAGAGCTCCTATTACTGTAATCGCCTAAACCAAGTTGCCCTTCCGCACCTTTACCCCATGTGAAAACCTTCCCACTCATAGTCAACACCGCTACATGCGAAGACCCCGATGATATCTCTCTGACAAACTCAGTTTTAAGTGGCCCTTCAACACTGCAAATAGATTCACCATCTGCTTTGGGGTTCCCAAGTTGCCCATGCCTAGAACTTCCAATAGTAAATACCATTCCAGTAACAGTAAGTACCACAGTTACTGCTGTCCCACAGGATACCTGAATAAGATCATAAGCAGTAAGTGAATCAACACATGTTGGTAGAAGCTTCATTTTTCTGTCAGCATGACCCAACTTTCCTCTATCCGCATCACCCCAGGTGAAGAGCTTACCACTTGGAGCATTACCCTTGAAACTGCTCATTACTTCCACGATGGCAGCCGTGTGCCATGGACCACATGCTACCGATTTCACTCTTGATCCTTTTAAGGACTCTACTTCTTTTGGCCGAGCAACTCCTTGAGTATCTCCATGCCCAAGAACACCAAATGTTCCGTCACCGTATGTGAATAACTGGCCAGAAGATGTTATAATAGCTGTGTGCCACTCACCACAAGCAATTTTTGACACAGAAATATTGTCCATAGGACCCAAAAATTTATGTGGAAACCATTGGTTCCTTCCATACCAGTCATTCATCAATCCCAAGCTATGAGCTCCTTCACCCCATTCAAAAAGTTCGCCTGAAACCGTGATTGCACACGTGTGCTTTGATCCAAATGCAACCGCCTTGACATGTACAGAGGCAAGAGACTCGACCATTTTGGGACAGGAGGCATTGACATTTACTTTTTGGTCCAATCTCCCACTGCTATAACTGCCCCAGGTATAGACCTCCCCTTGCTTAGTGATTATGGCTGCATGATTCTCCCCACAAGCAATGCTTTGTACATCAAGCATTTTAGCTGAGCCTACCAATCTCGGAAGGGATTTTGGAATGTCTTCACTGCCTAACATGCTGCCAAGAACACTACCCCAGAGAAAAACATCCTTAAGTGAATCCAACCTACATGCCACACGGGGCCCTTCAAAAGTCTTCAGTTTAGGTGTATGTGTAATATTCTGTGCCCTTCTGTTAGCAACCATGATGTCCTTCAGACCATGTTTTACTGGAGTTGCTATCTTGGGGTTAAGCTTCTCGATGTAAGAATCAATGTCACAAGAGGTTGGATGCCTTGGATAAAATAATGCTTCTGAGCTATCCAGATTACCACCAAAGATTTTTTTCTGTATCTTGGGACTCCCGTATGATGGGTATACCTTCAAGAAGAAATTCATTGAAGGAACAATCAACTCTTTGATGACATATAACATTTGGGTAGCAATGCAGGTCTACTTAAGAATATAAGCAACATAAAAAAAATGACACCCCTTGTTAAAGTATATGCCTGTACAGTTTAATTCAAAGTCAAATAATAATTTATATGTGGATCTCATTCAATACCCTTGCAGTTGAGAGCTGGGACATACATATCAGTAGAATCTTAAGCTTTTGTTATTTGGCCATGTTATGAATCTGAAATTCATATTACTCGACAAAAACAGAACCAAATATGGTTTGCTGCAGAACTAACCTGGGTGTGCCTTGGTGTGTCAAGGGCAGCTGATAACCTGCACTTTCGCTGAAGATAGCTGCGGGGACTGATTGCGCAACTGTTTATCTGTCTACCGCTCTTTGAGCCAGCCAATGGAAGTGGACTATAAGGAGAAGATGTTAAGGCAGTCAAACCAAGAAACCAGCATTCAGCTTGATCTCTGTCTCTGCAGATCTGGGCCAACGAAATTTTCAAAACATGTGGTATGAGTAGGGAAAACATATACTATAAGATTGCAGCTCTAACTGATTTAAGATCTAGTAAGAGGAGTACCAAGTCTATTGAGCACTCGCCGTTTTTGTATACGAGTGACAAGGATTGTGATTCCTTCTCTGGCCAGCGATGACGCAGAAAATTCATCTGTAAAGTTCTGAAATCCTTAGAATATTGTATTGCTATGTGACGAAGGGACAAGCATCATAACTTAATCAGGGCATAATGAATTGCTTACAGTCTTCTGCCCAAGAACAACAGTGGAAACGGAATTTAAGCTCAGGTGTTTTTCCCTGTCCTTCGAGTACCAGACTAATGTTTTCTCATCCTGCAAAGAGGAAAGAAATCCTTTGGCATGACAGCAAAGAGAAGAAATCCTTTCGCATGACATAAAAGCTGCAGGTACAAAATTCTATGTGGTAACAGATTATTGGTATTCCAAAAGGTAAGGACAAATACCCCCATCGGTCCAAAACTTATTTACTGGCCAACATATTAGCATTAATATAGACTAACATGGAGCACTCCAGTTTTGTTCATAACAGATTAACAGTATATCAAATTCTCTGAGATTGTCTTATAAAATAACTCATGAATTCCTTGTGACAGGCCACAGAGGCACTAACAAATTGCATACTTCGGCTGGTTTTAGCTGCAAGCACTATTTTCGTAATAGTGGTAAAAGGTACGTATTATCTTGCACATTGTACTTGAAACATTTTCCATGGATGCATCTTATAGGGACTCAGGGGAATGACAAAGTACCTAATGGTCCAATAACAGCGTATTTCTGTCATTAGCACTCCCATGGCTTTAAGAATTTCCACTCCCCAGTTTATAAACCCACCATTATTGATTAGGATTCGTGGATAATATGAGCATATTTACAGCAGAATTACTCACTGAAGATAGCCTGAATGGGCAGAATTTGGGCTTCCCTCTCTTTCCAAATTTCAGGAGATGTGCTCCCTTCTTCAGAGCAACAATGGCCTGGATAGCAGAAACAAAACAAAAGGAAAAAGAAAAAAAATCAGAACTCCTCCACTCTCAGGGCAACATGGATTTGATGGGTGATCATTCGGATTTAATCCGAGCAGTTTTTCTCAGTACGAACGCTGACTCCATGAGGTTGAGAGAGAATATAATAGGAAAACAATGCATTTCATTTCCCCCAGAAGATGTAGCGATGGTAGTCCAACGGGTTAGCAATAAAAGCGAGACATTTGAAGGCTTGCAATTCCAAAAATAATCGAAAGAAATCCAATAAATCAATAAATGGCGTCAAAATTACTCTCAAGAGGCTAGAAAGGAGGGGGGAAAGGGGAAATCTTTTACAGACCTGCTCAACTCCTCTTGTTGGCATCCTCCCATCAAAACTCCCAGCCATGGCAAAAGCAAGATGAGGTTGTTACTCTCCTCTGCTCACAGGTAGCTCAGCCAAGGATGGCAATGCAGCGTCTGAAAGAAAAATGGAGAAAGGAGGAAAGAAATGGAGCAGTTTGAGGCTTTGAGCTCAACGGGCTCAACGGGGAAGTGCCTCTTGCAGAAGAGCTGCAGCGATTCAGTGACCCTGGAAAAAGCTAAACAGTGGAGAGAGGAGTCGCTGGCCGTTGGGCTTTTGTCTTCTGTTCGCGCACACACGCTGAAGTGCAGTTCAGACTTCAGACCGGGAAAAGGCTTCCGCCATCAGCGTTCTTTGAGCTGGTGCTCTGACACTCTGAAGCCCTTATCTCTATCGCCTTCTCCATTATAATTCTTGTGTCTGTATACTCCTACCTCTACTAGTGCTAGTACTGTAGTACTACAAAACAACCATTACTCATACTGTTTGGTTAGCGTGTGGACAACAGTACGTGAGTCAGTAAGGAGGGGATTAAGAAATGTGTTATGTTTGCTTGTCCTTGCTACTAGTAGGATTTTCATGCATGTCAGCCTCTGCTCTGGGTTCCTCGCATTATACAGTAGGTTGTGCCATGTAGAGGCTACATCAATTATGCTGTCCAAGAATCCATTAGGAGACACTTTTATTTAGGTCTCCAATGGCTCACGAGATGTTGGGCAGTGCGTAGGTATTGTCAGTAAAGTCGAGTACCAAGAAATCGGTTCTTGTTAATGACTGTTTCTATAGCAGTCGATGCCTGTAGCACTGTACAGTAACTCTGTAGAAACGTTTTCTTTCCACTTCAAGTTCTGAACATTGTTTTGCAACACGGCGATTCAATACATCGAGATGGCATTGTGCAACACCACTAGTAATGGCAGAGAACGGGGAGCCCATAAAATAACTTTCATGGTGATCGTTCCTGCAGTCATCAAGGAACTGATGGAGAGCTGGACGGTGGCACGTCATGTGATGGACATAAGTCGTTGGTTGGCAGCGGTGAACTCACTAGTTGCAGCTGAAAAGACGAGCGAGGAGAGCATTTGAGGCGCATGAAAGTGGGCAGCCGGCAGCATGATGCCCAAGGGGAAAAAGAAGGCAAGGATACTACTCCTACCACTGCACTGTACGGCCTCAACCAAAACACATGACTGGTCGCTTTTTCCTACGACGAGCCAACCATTGCTTTGCGTGCAATGCCACCGCGAGAATGAAGAAACTTGACATGACTGTATGCAAGTACTGCACGCATTGCCATGTGTCTCGCGTAGTAGTGTACTCCCTCCGTCTCAAAAAAAAAAAAAAAGACAAACCTGAATTTCCGTGTCCAACGTTTGACTATCCGTCTTATTTTAAAAAATTATAAAAAAAATAAAAAGACAAGTCACGCATAAATTATTAATCATATTTTATCATCTAACAACAATGAAAATACTAATATAAAAAAATTCCATATAAGACGGACGATCAAATTCCATATAAATTATTAATCATGTTTTATCATCTAACAACAATAAAAATACTAATATTAAAAAAATTCTATATAAGACGGACGATCAAATGTTGGACACGAAAAGCCAAGGTTTATTTTTTTTGGACGGGGAAGTACTACTATAGCAGTAGTGTGCATTTGATGCATGGAAATTACGCTGAGCTAGGCCCATAATCAGATAAAAAGGGCGCCCATGTGAGGCCGTATCCAGAGTAGGTGAAGAACATATTCCAGCAGGATCTGTTTTGGGAGGACTCGGGTTAAACTAAAACGGCGGTCGCTGCTGCTATCATTCGAGGCACGTAACACAGCCCTCGCCGCCCCCCTAGCGTAATAGCGTTTGCATGGGGCGGTTGGTTTGTCCCTCGGCCTAGCCATGTGCCACGATTCTGTCTCCAAAAAAACAAAATCTAGCAGTAGTACACGTACTACGCTCCATCGTAGTCGCTCCGAGTTTTTCTTTGACTTTCCTCGGTGAAGCGTCTTGGTGGTGGAGGTGAGGTGCTACCGGAATCAGCCGCGAGAAGAACGAGCGCGCCGCGCTGCTGCGCGCTGCGCCCCGTGCATGGGTGAGGAGGCGTCAGGCGGACCAACCGCGGTGCGCAGAAGTGGCCAAAGCGACGGAGAAACCGACAGCCCAGCGCAAGCGCGCTTCCCCCCGTGCTGGTGCGCACGCACGCACGCGCACGGGCGCGCGGCGGGGAAACGGGCGGCTAGCTAGGCGGTAGGCACGGCGCGGGCCGCGGCGATGGGCGGGGGAGCCGTGCAAAATCTCAGACGGTTGGTTGGTAGGAACATGGGGTGCGTGATGAACAACTTTGGACGTAGTATCCTGTACGCGCGCTGCGCAGTTGCGTGGTGCGCTGTTGCGCACGTATGTGTAGTACTATAGTGGCACGTCCGCGGGCAGTTACATTCTGATCGGCCATGATTTAACTGCTCATCCGCCATCCTGGGGCTGAGCCTTTCGGGTCGGAGTAACAGTACTCACCGGTCCGGTGCTCGTTTTGGTGCTGAGGCTGTGTTGTTCACACTAAAGTTTGTAAGTTTGGTTGAAACTGATACGATATGATAGAAAAGTTATGTGTATGAAATGTTTGATATAATGGAAAGTTGGAAGTTTAGAAAAAAAAAACTTTAGAACTAAACAGGGTTTGAGATTAATTTTAAGAGTACAGAGAGGCAGAAGGTACAAAAGTTTTTGTAGTGTATGTATCAAGGCCGGCCTGTATCTGATAAGTAGTAGTAAACTGAACGGTACACAATTTTAAACAGTTTTATATACGAGTAGTTTTATGGTTCTTGAGGAGATACTAAAAATTTAATGTAAAATTTGATACCTTATAATATCTAGGTATCAAATTTACAATAGAAAACATGATACCTCATGATACCTTTTGAAGAACAGTAAAATTGCTCTTTATATACTGATTTTATATACTTCGGTAAGGAGCATGTGCTACTAGCACGCCACCGACCTCAAGATGCACCTGTGCAACTTCGTCCTCGCCGTATCCGCGATAGGGGCAAACATTGCTAGTGGAGGATTTCGTTAGGGGAGCTAGCCACCAACGGATTTTCATTAACTGAATTTTGTTTTCTCGTGGAAGTACTGACAGCTGGGACATTGGTCCAAATAGAAACATTGCTGGTGGGAAAAGACAGGTCTAAAATAAAGTTAGTCACTGTATAATTTACTCGAAAAAAGAAATGAAAAGATATGCACCACCTATCACAGTGAGATCAAATCATAATTTGATACACCTTCCGTACCATTATAAGTGTCGCCATAAATTTTCGTACTCAATATTTAATCGTCTGTCTTATTTGAAAAATTTATGAAAAAATTTTAAAAGTTAAATCACGCATAAAGTACTATTCATATTTTATCATCTAATAACAATAAAAATACTAATCATAAAAATATTTTAAATAAGACGGACGATCAAAGTTAGGCCCTGAAATCCACAACTACGGTTGTGTTTAGTTCACACAAAAATTGAAAGTTTGGTTGAAATTGAAACGATGTGACGAAAAAGTTGAAAGTTTGTGTGTGTAGAAAAGTTTTGATGTAATATAAAAGTTGAAAGTTTGAAGAAAAACTTTGGAACTAAACACGGCCTACGTTTAACGGAGGGAGTAGTTGTGAAATACAAACTGATACTAGCTGTGTATCAAATAAAAACCTTTTGCTGGAAACCTTTTGCAACCAGTAAGTTTCTCAAGAATACACGAGGCACATGGCCGTGAGCCTGCGAGATGATCCTAAAGGCTGCTACTTTTTGCTGGTGAAAACTTGAACATGATGATCGATTCAATCCTAGACTCCCAGTACCTCCATATTCGAACCATGTCACAAATCATTCTGCTTCTCTGATCTGCATCATCAAAAAGTCCTAATTACGGGTCCGAGTCAAAGGGCAGACACAAACTGACTGGATTATGATGGGAGCAATCAATGATGTTACCATCAGAACAAAATGGGCTAGAAAGTATAGTCGAAAACACTCAAAAGTCCACAAGGCCATCAAACTTTGTTCCGGCCCAAATCAAAACTGGTAACAAGTCCCCAAACACCAGCCCACCCCCTCGCATCCGCTGTCTATTGAGTGGTTGATCGTCGCCGTCCAACTTGAATCCAACGCCTAGATCTCCACTCCCACGGATCGACTCCCCTCGCCACGTCATCGATCCGCGCCAGATCACTCCCCATCCAATCAAACTCCTCCGATCCCAATCCAACGCTCCAACCCCACGCTCCCACGGATCCATCCAACCCCCGAAACCACCCTCCCGCCTCAGCCCTCCCAATTCCCAACCCAAAATTTCGCATTCCCTCCCAAATCCACCATTATATATTCATCCCCCGAATGGCCGAATCCCCAATTCCACACAAGGCTTCTTCCACATCTCCACCCAAATTCCAAATCTCTCGGTGATCGGAGCGGTTAGCTGCGGCGATGTCGGGGCGCGGCAAGGGAGGCAAGGGGCTGGGCAAGGGCGGCGCGAAGCGCCACCGCAAGGTGCTCCGCGACAACATCCAGGGGATCACCAAGCCGGCGATCCGGAGGCTGGCGAGGAGGGGCGGCGTCAAGCGCATCTCCGGGCTCATCTACGAGGAGACCCGCGGCGTGCTCAAGATCTTCCTCGAGAACGTCATCCGCGACGCCGTCACCTACACCGAGCACGCCCGCCGCAAGACCGTCACCGCCATGGACGTCGTCTACGCGCTCAAGCGCCAGGGCCGCACCCTCTACGGCTTCGGAGGCTAGACGAGTACAGATTCGATGGTGTTGGGCGTAGCAGCGCTAGCATTATTATGTCGTGTGCTCCGTGTGTGTCGTTGTGTCTGTGACTCCTTGTGTTCTAGTCGTCGGTGTGTTTCATCAAGTTTCGACTTCTGGTCGACTGGATGTAATACCTTGTTCTGTTCAATGAAACCTTGTTTATGACCGAAAATATGGAGGTTTGGAGGTTTGATGCATATTTTTTCATGGCTATCTGTTTGAATCTGTCCAACCTCTCAATGCGTCATGCCTTGTGCATCGCATCTGTAATTTCCTGAAAGCCAATCGAAACTGACCAAAGTGTACCTGAAGAGATGCAGTATTGCAGTCTGAATATTGTGAACTCCTTGGTGAAGTAGTACAACACAATGTTTGGTCTAGCATGATGTAAACTTGCAAATTACTAGTAGTACAGTTAGTACTTTGCTCAGTTGCTCCTTGTTTGTAAACTTGCAAATTACTAGTAGTACAGTTAGTACTTTGCTCAGTTGCTCCTTGTTACCATGTCACATTACATGTATAAAGTCTTAATGCAGCCTCCACAAAACAAAGATCTACAGACAAGGGTATGACACTGTTTAATTGCTACAAATAATTACCATACAATCGAGACAACAGGTACAGCCTTCTATTTTGAATGGTACATCAAGCCTCTGTAGTGCAATTATCAGAGTTCCAAATGGTACATGCCACATTTATGAGCACCTTTTCTATGTTGGACTACTATTGGAGGCTCTGCACTAAACATTTCTTTCTCTAATGATACTATTATCGTTCCTCAGAGGAATATACAATAGTACAATCCAACTCATAGGATCAGAAAAAAATTTGTAACTGTAAGCTGCTATTGGTACCCTTTCCTCTCTAGAGCAGGAACTGCTTGCCAGTGTATGTTTTGCCGAAGTCCCACTCCTTAGGGACCACGTTGTAGTTGGTCAATGTTTTTCCATCACTTGAGGTGAGCTCGAAGGAGAGAGGCTGTCCCCTGAAATCAGAGTTGATGTGCCATATCTGCCCCCAGTTGCGGCCCATCGAGAGCCAACCGGACTCCGTTCCTTTGATCTTCACTGATCGGACATCGCCAGCACCACCGACATTGCTAATTAGGACTGTCAGGAAGAAGCTTCGACCAGCGACTGCGAATCGCACACCACCATCACGAAGACAGTTGACGCTGCATACAAATTAAACACGCCAAGATTAGTGACAATTGACAATTTTTGCTGACCAATTTACAATCTACAATAATTTTGCTTTCTATCTACAGGCTATCATGTTACTGATAGCCTTGTACAGCTGTCCTTGTGATGGTTCACTGCTCAGTGAAACAATCCGTTCAAACAGATTGTCACTCTCATGGAAATCCTGCCAACAACTGAGCCCTGTAACATATGGTGAAGCCTGAAATAATTTAAAAGCGCTGCAGGTTGATGTTCTCTACAAAATGTCCTGGAACATCGATCTTGAGGAAGTATGATAGGCACATAAATATGACAGTATGATATTCAGGAAACCATCTTGAAGTTGAACATCTAATTGATGCCAACTTAGACGCACATTTGATGCCAACTTAAACGCACATAATGGATATTGCATTACTCAACTATACCTCAGAATATTTGAGAAAGTAATACAGGCAACCTAATTCAGCATCACATTAGGGGGTTCGTAAAATTAATTCTTGAATATTACTAGAAATGACGTACACTAATTTACAGACGTCAACTGGAAGATTGTAACCTATTTAGATCTAGAGCACTAAGATGTGAAGAAAAATCTAGTGCAGGAAAAGATAATGCCTGACTATGAACTGATCTGTTTAACACTATTTTAGTTTTGATAACAGATCAAATTATTGAAGGACTTGAAAGACATACCAACCGGTATAAATTGCTAGTACAGAAAGCAAATTAAGGACAGCTACAGTCCACAAATAATGCAGCAATTCAACCTGTGGGACTAACTTAGTGGTCATTGAAAGCTTAAAGGAACATCTAATGTACCCCAGAAAGGAATTAAGCGTGATGGAAAACGGTCTATGTAATGGAGCAGACTAACATTCCTTAGTGCCTACCGATACAGATTAAAAAAACTGCTGGAAATTACCCAGAACTGTGTACTTTTGAGTCTTGATTATTAGGATTAGCCTGGGAAAACCTCGTAAACTAACTCAGATATGAGGAAGGCTGTTTGCATAAATTCGGTGTGAGTTGCTGTTACCTGCAGGTCCATAGCTCACAGCCTCCGGATTCTAGCTAGCAACCTTAAACTAGTAGAGTAATGGAATAAATGAATTCTCACGAGCGACATTTAGATGACAATAGTAAGTTACTGCTAGTTTTCTGATCAATGGTGCATGTAAGTTGCATCGTTTTAATTCCAACCAGCAAAATATTATTCCAAACTATATGAATTTTTAACTGAAGCATACACCAAGTTTCTTGTGCTGCTTTTTTTTTTTGGAAACCAGTTTCTTGTGCTGCTGAGCCAGAAGCAAATCAACTGAAACAGTTAGAACTCTAACAGTACTTACGAAAATGGTGCATCAAATGGCTGAAGGCTTTAAAAGTACTGCCCTTTTTTCTCCTAACCTAGACACCTAAACACACTACAGCATAAAGGACCATGAAACTATCCAACTGAACCCTAAGGGCACCCGCAATGGTTATCTATAGGCTCTCTACAAGATATCTATGTCAGCATATTTTCCTACATTGAAGAGATTAAATGAAGAGAGAGAGCAAAGCTATCTACTAACCTGGAGATAGTCTATAGAGAAAAACGAGGCAATGCATTAGAGAGCTATAGATACCCATGTAGACATACTATTGAGGTGGTTTACTATTAATCTAGTCTATTGCTGAGATGTACATGTTTTATAGAGAGCACCTTACTTTACCATTGCGGGTGCTCTAACAGAAGTTGACCGTATTGGAAGACGGCCCATTTCCTTTCCTCCACAACGGCCACTTATAATTCAGCTTTTCTGGGATCCCACATTCTACCAACCGACGCAATTCTAAGCACTTTCACATTTCCACACAAAGTGGATTAAGAAAATGGGAAACATAAACCTCAGATCTAGTCTAGAATCCAGTGCAAAGTAGACTAAAGATAGCAGCAATCAAAGGATGCAGCCAAGAATCGAACGTACCGGCGGTACTGGATGGGCATCACGCCGGCCTTCCAGAGCGCAATCTTCTCGAAGGACTGGATGGGGAGGAGGAAATGGTGGTTGGGCGGGTTGCAGACGCCGCCGGCGTCGGCGGGGAGACCGAAGTTCGGGGCGCAGAAGTTGGTGGCCGTGACGACGATGGAGGTTCCGGGGAGGCAGTACTTGAGGTCATCCACGCACTTCACCTCGTAGCAGCCGCCGCACGCCGCGCCGCGCTCGAACAGCGCCGTGCTCAGCCCCACCGTCGCCATCCCGTACCCGTGCTTCCCCAGATCCCCGAACCCGCACGCGCCACCTGTAATCCGCCCAACAGCACGGCACAAATCAAGCACGCTCCTACGGATGAAACCATGATAGAGGAAGCAACCAATTCAAGAACCAACCGTACGCGCAGATAATTCAAGTAACCGAGCGTGCGGCTTTGAGGGAAATTTCGTCCGCGGGACATGCGGGAAGAGAAATCTTCCATGGCCTTAGGGGTAGTTATGGAGAATTAAAGAAGCGCAAGGACAGATTCGTTCCTAGATGCAGAGATGACCAAAGAGAGCCAGCTAGCTTTGGATGCGTACCGATGGCGTCTTCCGGGTCGGCGGCGTAGTAGGAGGCCTTGGCGGAGCGCCACTCGGAGAGGGCGGAGGAGCCGAGGGTGGACGGGTGCTGGTGGCCGGTGGCGAGCGCCGGGAGGAGGAAGAGGACGAGGAGGAGGCAGGGAGCCATGGCTCCAAAGGTGTTCGTCGGTATGCCTCAGTGCAGTGTGGTGTGGTGGGGGAGAGTGGAGTGGAGTGGAGCTGTGCTGCCGTCTCGAGCCCGTGCGAGTGTGAATTGCTTTGGCTATAGTAGCAGGTTCTGGGGCCTTATTGTTTTTATAGACGCTTTAAATGGTATTTTTAATGGAGTTTTTCTTTTCCCTTAGTGAGGAGTAGCTTTTGAATGCTTGTGAGAAAAGGGAGGTGGATATTTAGACATAGAAAGGAATTGAAAGGCTAGATGAAATGCAAAATCTTTTTCTGCTCTCCGTGCAGAGAAAAGAACACCCCATGATTATAGGGCTTTATTCCATTTGGTAGGGTACATTTGTAAAGAGTACGTGATGCCTAATTAATATGCTCAGCTCACTAGTTTTTCCAACCGCCCTTTCTTGTTAATATAAGTAATTGCTAATTCCTCTATCACATAATATATATAACAATCTAATATAGGATTAAACGCAACGTAGTAGCACATTTTATCCAGATTTATAGTACTAGATTATATCTAATCTTATACTTAATTATTATATTTGGGAATGGATATAGTAAATTATACCACTAAATCTATTGATTTTTATATAGAGACTTTTATTTTTTAAAAAAACAAGGTTAAACTTTAATCGTTGATTGTTATCATACAGTGAGCTTTCAATAGCTATAAAACCTATAATTTTTTGGAACTTCGCTAGGCTACGCTTGGCAATGCATGAAAGTGAGAAGATTTCTCACATTTTTTTTTCATTCGCACACTTCACAAAGTGCTAAATGGTACGTTTTAAAAAATCATATTAATCTATTTTTCAAGTTCAAAAAAGGTATTACTTAATTAATTATAAGCTAATAGTTCACCCATTTTAATTTTATATATTTTCTTAATCTTCTCATTTCCTCTTCTATTAAAAACCATAAGATGTTAGTCTATTAGCATATTTTATGAGCATAAAATGTGATTATAAGTTGAAAAGGAATTGATCAAAATCTATAATCTATATGGTTTGACTTTTTTAAGATCAGGATGGAGTACTTGATAGTACTTGGCATCCCTGAGGTATGGTTAGCACCTTCCAAGAACCCTACAATTAATATTAGCTGAAATCTTTTACGGCTAGTGTGCACACTATTTTCGAAAGAAAGAAAAAAAAAGAATTTAGGTGATGTTACCCTAAAATTCTACACTCACACTCAAGGAAAAAAAACCAATACAATTAGAATTAGTGTCCATTTTACATATGACTGCAAATTGCTTGCCACATTTATTTGACTACCTGTTGCAGA